TCTGTATATTCATGCCTTATTTTACTTCCGTCGGTATTATTTTCACTTTGAATAGTTTCCGGTATTTTTTCGCTTGTCACCTTTTATTTATTTAATTCAAGGGGTTTTGCAGTAATACCTTACCGAAATTCTCATTTTTTCAAGCGGTTTAATTGCCTTACTAATTCTCACTAATTTTACATCCCCTTTTAAGATTTACACATGCTATGAACTCTTTTATAAAGTATATGACTTATTTTGTAGCTTAATGTTTACTTATCATCATAATCACAAATATTTTGTCCCAGTTCATGTTATTATTTTTAAATTACATATATAAGATTGTGCCCCTTGATGGTGAATTGGTTGCAAACAGTCTCTGCACTGAGAGAAATCCGAAATGAAACTCTTTATAGGAATTCTCTATTCACTGAAGCTATTGAGGAAATTAACATTGAAGTTGAGTTTTTTTCTCCACCACATGATCAGATTATTTTGTCTGCTCAGTACAAAGCTGACTAAATGCGATTTAATTTGAGTTCTTTATAGTGTAAAGTTGAACTGCTTGAAGAAAAATCCTTAGTTCATACATAGTACAAGTGGATTTTTAAGAATTCAAAAGATTATTGGTTTTGAAATGTTAGTGCGCTAATCACTGTATAGTCAAGTCAGATAGACGCTATCAGGATATGAAAACATGAATGCGTAGTTATTAGTTCAACTTATGATGTCACTTACCTACACATCAAATAAATTGTGAGACGAAAGATGAATAAGTAGAAGTTATACAATCTTAAGTGGTAGAATACAGTAGAATAATAGGTATGACGAATAAATGCAATTTTCCTTAAAAGATAATATCGTTTGAATGTATTCTCACCACTAAAAAGAATTATTAGGTTTAACATTTAGCATTTTCAATTATCTATCCCCCTTATCCTTATCCGTGGCAAGTCAGCATATACTGTTGTGAACAGATACAAATAACAGTTAAGAAATGCAGATAACCAAAGTAATATTACATCAAATAATTCTAAGTAGAACATAGTGCTTCAAGCTTTGAATTCTGAATTTTAAGTAGAAGTGGTATTGTTTTTACATGGTGTGGCTTCTAGCCCCACACCCAATCTTCCCTCTTTTCAAGGGTTGCTACTGAACAAGTCGCTTTTTTGGAAGGTCGCATAGGTAGGGAATAGAACCCAGACCTCCACTGTAGCTAGCGTTCAACCTAAAAGTGAACTACTGATGTATGTTTTATTTTTAAAACTTCCGTTTCTCTATTATTGACTTCAGTATATTGTTTTGGGTGCACCAGAAGTACTTCTGTTTCCCGCACAAATATCCTTAATTCTCCTGCAGTAATTTCTCATTACTATTCAATAACCACTAGAAATAAACAGAAAGGCTGATATTTATCTGTATTCAGTATCTACTCAAATACCATTTTAAAAGACAAAACCTTGTCTGTCGTCTAAATAAATTCACTTATAAAGTATAAAGTTACTCACTCCTTGTCGATTTTGATATACAATCATTTAATAGAATCGCTATGAGCCAATAGAGAAGTTTGAGTGAAAAGTGTCAAATGCATGCAATAAATTTCGATTCAACATCATCACTAACCACAGACATACATTGTCAAGATGCCATTCAGTTATGTTGATGTAGACAAATGAAACTTTATGTAATGTAGGACATATGTTGAGGAGCTGTGCAGCATTATTCTTCCATATATACAAATCATTCTAATTATCGAATTTCTATTTCATCATCCTTTCCTTATGATAATACTTAACTTTGAATTACTTTGAAATGAAACTCTTTGTTAAGTTAAAGATTCTTGTTGACAAATATCTTCCAATGTCTATTTATACAGTGGAGAACTATTCATCTACCCAGCATCACTTGAAGCGAAGCAACTGAATACAACAGTGAAAGTTAAGGAGCTCAGTCATCTGACTGATGGATACAGGAAACGCATACTGGTAAAAGTTTATTCTGAATGAATAAATTTAACTGATTTTTTCTACTGATGTTTATTTTATCAAAAAGGATTTCGTTGATATCTAGGATAGAAAAAACAACAGATAAACAGTCATGATAGGTGTTCATTTAATCTAAGGAAATCACTTAGATTATTTTATAGTTAACAACAACAACATCGAGTGTATCATAAAATACTGAAGTGGTACAGCTGGAGTTTCATAGAGAAAAGCTGATAAAAAGCTAGTTAGTAAAAGCTGAAATGAATATATTTGGGCGAAATTTCAGATTAACAAAAATTATTATTATTGTCTCCTTTCGTTCCTAGAATATGATAGGGCTTCAGCCACACTTCATGGTTTGCTCAGGGTATGGCCAATCCACCTGCAATTATTCCTGCTTATTTGCTGCACAATCGGTTCCTGGTTGGTTCGTTAATTGCCAGCGATCCCTGTTGCTGATCTTTTCTGGCCAGCCATCTGATCTTGAGTATTGAGCGAAGACAGCTGTTGATGAAGGTCTGTAGTTTATTTCAAGTGCCCTTTATGAAGTGGCAAGTCTCTGATCCGTATAGTGGCACTGACTTCACACTGGAGCTGAAAATCTGCATCTTATTTTTCATGCTGAGTGTTGTTGATCTCCACACAGACTCGTCTAGTCAGCACCGATTCGTTGGATAGTATCATATTCGACAAATAATTAGTAATCCCTGATTTCTTCTTTTCCACTAATTTGTGTTCGCAAAATCAATTTGATATTGTTTTTTGCTTACATGTACCATGTAAGGATTAGTATTTTTACCACAAAACTATTTAAAACATAGTCTCAGCATGTTTAGAAAATCAAAACAAGATTTCTCTCATGTCAGGTATTTTATCTAGATAATTTTGATTTCCAAAGGAAACTGTGGGTAAATTCCATCCCTATCTGTATAAAATGCAGATAAAAAAACTAATTTGCAAATTGAGAATTTTGTTCACTGTGTTACTAGTTCACTTAAATAAGAAGTCAGATTTCCAGTGGTCTTTAAATGATTTACCTCTCTGAGTTGAGGGAAAACTGGGTACACTGCTAGTCAGCTAGGCCACAAACGAAGAGAACAGCTGCCCTAAATTTTGATAACTTCAATCTGGCTAGCATGTACTACTGGTTGATGTCAATCGGTCAACAGTATGCAGCAACACAGGAAAATTTCGATAGGATTTAGTAAGCAACTTAGGATTATTTCCAATAATTTTACAATGATTCAGTCAGATTCAGCCCTCGAGTACATCTGGATATTTATAATTCATATGTGATACTCCTTCTGGTTATTTGTAGTGACAAAAATAACATATTGATTACAAAAGTCTTATGAATAACAGAAGCAGCTAGATAAGGTAGGCAAGTGGTCCAGAAGGACTACAATCTACAAAAGTATTTTATTGTTTAGATGTAGTATTATACACTTCGTATGCCAAAAAATGATACCATTTTCTAGGGAATGTAAACTTAGATACACTGAATGACTCACAGTATGGTAATGGGGTGGTGGAAGCCGATTTACGGGGACAACATTATTACTATTATTAAGAAGTGATTATGGTTACAATATTCAAGATAACCATACAATCCTTTACCTATTGTTTTGTGTCGCAGTTACACTCAACCACCAGCTGAATATTGCCATTTAAATTCATTAATACTTGATTCTTTATTTTATTTTTGTATATCCTGGTGAATAATTGTGCTGAGCCAAAAATTCAGTCTCTGTTAACATGCTAGTTCCCAGTATGGATTCTTCAACAATATCTTAGTATTAAAATGATGTTATTTGACGGATATTAACTAGCAGTGTAATATAGGATGCTTATTTTGTTCTACGCGAGACTCGTCATCTGCATTGCAAGCACATTCAGATGATGAGTCCCAAATAGGACGAATTGCGCATATTGGATTTTACTGCTAGTTACCATCCACTCAGCAACATTACTCGATTCTTTTCAGCATTATTCTTCACAAGTAATAAATTTATTTATGTCTCATATTGGATGTTATAAAGTCCACGGATTTATAAACATAGTCTTTGGTAGATGTTCTTGTTAGTAGTATATACACAGAAAAGACGGTTTACTCAAGTATTTTTGTCTTATACGTTGATGGAGTAAACGGCTGTCAGGAGACATGGGGGGGCGAGAATAGATAGTTGGAGAAAAACTATGTGGATACGGATAAGGATATTAGATAAGGGTAGCTCTTCTGGTGTTATGAATTACAATATATAATTATTCATCACGTTTGCTTTAAAAGACTTAATTTAGTGTATACATGATTTGTAGTTATTTACTGGTGTCATTACACTTTTAATATCTGCAGTTAAAGCTTACTTATTTATAAGTGTCAGGTTGTAGGAATTAGAGTAATTTCATCACTTAGTGAACCTCAGGAAATCAAATAACATTGAACGGTCACACTCTTCATCATTGCTTACCCATGATCCTAACCATTAATTAGGTGTTTTGATACTCATATTTCGTAGAAACACGGCATAAAAGGGGGGTGTTTAGCCACACACTACCCTCAAGATTCAGATCCTGAGGAGTTATAGGCCAGATAACTGGTTGAGAAATGTATTCCTATACAGACTTTCATAGGGAGTAAGTAACGCATCAAAGATCGTGAATGTATCATCGACCTACTTAGCTCAAAGAGCTTTTAATTTTTTCTGTTCATTGTGTGAAAGAGGTTTCATGCGCTGATAGTTTTCTCCGTTAGTTTTTCAATTCCCATACTTATGAAAGGAACGATTTTCATTCTTTAATGATTTCCCTGTCGTAACTTTTTCTTATAAAGTGTTTTCAGAATGTATCTTGTGGTTTAGGCAACTTGAATTTCATCCCAGTTTCCTATCTATGTGGTTTTCTACTGTCGTTCTCTAAGATTTTATGCTATTTCACAAACTCTGTATAGCTAATAGGTAGATTTTGATGATTTGACTAATGCACTGAAAACCGAATGACTTATCCACTAAAATTTATCACGTATCGCTTTATATTCAGTTAGCTGAAGGAGTTGCATTTCGTAGCAAACAACACAACAACAGAACCCGAATATTAGGAATACTAAGACAAAACACAAGGTAAGGCAAATTGTTAACTGTTTCTTGAAACTGTTGTAATCTAAAACTGTAGTAAAACACATTGTAAAGATGCAAGTAAGAGTAAAGTGAGACTTTCTAAAACATATTGAACTCATACGGTGGTTATTTTAAATGGCAAGGGAACCTCTGGAGGGCGTGAGGTGAGAATAAAAGTAATTTTGCGCTCACACTTCATGAATGTGAAGAAAACACATCATGTAGCATGAGTGAGGAAACGTGTGTGGAAGAACATTGGAACTCTGTGAAGGTGATGTTCAAGAAAACGTGTGCACAGCCGTTTTAGGAAGAAAGAAATGGCTCTCGGTGGACACTTTGGAGCTAATAGAAGAGAAGAGGATTGTGAAAGAGAAAGTGACTCAATGCAGTGATAGACAACAGGAGGAGAAGCTGAGTTCAATGTACACTGCACCGAATAAAGAAGTGAAGAAGAGTGCTAGGAGAGACAAAGGACAATTCTACGACACATTGACTGGCAACTGAAGCAGAACAGGCTGTCCACAGGTGAAAGAGAGCTTAGAGCATTATATCAGTTAACCAGGTCTCTATTCGGGAATAGATCAACACAGATGAAACCAGTAAAGGGTGGTTAAGGGAAGCTAATTAATTACCAAAGAGATGCAGCGAAAAAAGGGGGCTGGTCACTTCAAAGGACTCTTGAATCGATCATCACCCTGAGAGTCACCGGGAAGTACCATCATCAGCGCGCACAGAACTGCCAGTGGACAGCGATCTTCAAACGAAAGCAGAAGTCTTGAATGTGATGAAGCAGCTGAGAGGGCAGCAGGGCCAAACAGAATTCCCCCCGAAGCACTGAAAACAGACACAGAGACTGCAGAAAATGTGCTCACCGCTATAATTGCAAAAGGTTTGGGAGGAAGGAAGGAAGAAAGGAGGGAAAGATGCTCCCCGATTGGAAGGAAAGCAAGCTTGTCAAGCTACAAAAGAAGGGCGACTTATGCCTCTACAAGAACTGCCGTGGAATAATGCTTTTCTCCACGCCAAGTAAAGTACTAAGTGGCGTCATCCTGAAGATGTTGAAAGGATGCACTGGATACAGAAGACTGGTCTGAACGGGTGGGATTCAGGAAAAGCAAATCATCTGCTGATCAAACAGTAACTCTATGCATCATCTTTGAACAGAGAATAGAAAGGTGGGCAAATTTTCATTCCTTTATGTGCCCTCTGGAACGTAGGGCTTCAAGTTAGAGCTTCAAAATTTCGGTAGCAGTGGTGTTCATTTTTACGGGGTGGGGTTGCTACCTCATGGCCATTCTTCCCTCTTTACCAATCTTATTACTGGCTTAGTGAGGTAAAGGAGCGTGTCGGCCGGGGATCGAACCCTGAACCTGGACTATAACTTCACTGACTTAGAAAAGGCCTTCGACAGACAGCGCTGACCAAGAAGTAATTTGGAAACTACTTCAACACTATGGCTTGCAGTGCCTAAATCTTCATCAACCTCATTCATTAGCTATATCATAATGTCACATGTCAGGTGATCCACGACGGAAAAATCAGCGAAGCGTCTGAAGTGAATACAGGAGTAAGAGTAGGTTGGCTGCCTACTATCACCCACGATGATATTTTCAATAGTTGTGAACTGGATTATGCAGAAGACTGTGCGTGGGTAGTGCGATGACAGGAAAACGTTGGACTGATATGAAGACTCTAGTTGATCTGGATTTCGTGCATGTATGATTTACGCTTAATGTCACACAGGCTGGAAAACTTGCAGGCGCAAACCAACAAACTGGCTGAAGAGGCTGACAGAGAAGAGAGAATTCCGGGTGAACAGAAAGAAGACGAAGGTGATGCAGATTTTCAACCAACAAGAGCCAGTACTAAACACTATCAACAGGAAGCATTTGAACGTAGTCACTTCTATCTTTTAACTAGAAAGCATCGTTTTAACTACAGGTGGCACGATTGAGTATGCCAAAACCAAAGTCGGAAAGGCAAGAAAAACCTTCATCAATATGAAATCAGTCCGGAAATCTCCTGCATTCATCATCAAAAACAAAGTTTTGTTTTTCAACACCAATGTTTAGTCAGTCAGTTCTTCTATGTGAGTCAGAAACTTGGTGTGCCATGAAAAGCATTTCCAGCAGCCTATTGCAGACTTTTGTCAACAGATCCATATTGTAGATGAGATTGCTAGAAAGAATTAGCAACAATAAGTTCTGGCAATAAACTAACCTGTAGCTGATCGCTGAAAAAATATGTAGGAGAAAACAGAGATGGATTGGGCATACGCTGAGGAAACTATCGAATGATATAGTGCCCCAGGCTCTTGAGTGGAACCCGAACGGGTGGAAACGATTTGGACACTACTTTGAGTGTCACATAGAGTAGATCGAGTGAGAAGGAGGTCAGAGACTATGGGCAATTATGCGGCCAGCTGAAGAGGACCAAGGAGAATAGAAAAGGGAGATGTTCTTTTGAAGCTCCATGTTCGGCGCAGCACCAAAGGCATTAATTAAAATATATTATTTTATTCGACTGGGAAAACGTTGGAACTTTAAACAGAGGAAACGCCAGGAATGCCAGGGAGTTCCTAGAAGTCTGGTACTCAGATGAATCAGCGATTAACAGACACAGCAATAGATCAAATTCACCAACTAATAAAAACTACCCACAAGAAAAGAAAGTTCAAATTGTGGGTCAGTAAAAATCATCAGTAAAGATGTAAATGAAGAACCAGTCACAACAAAGGTTGTTAGGAAATACAATTACACCATGGTGAATCCAAACAAGTTCACTTATATTCAAGCTTCAGCTGAAGATACTGTTCAGAATGACAATGAAAGCTTTGTGACTAAATCAACTAGCATAGAGAAGACGATGAAATCAAAATCACCCACCTGAGCTACATATCTTCACAATTATTTCAAAGTGTATTTATCTAACCCTAAGTGTTTTGATTACTGTCTATCGACTAAGTGTAACAAAGCGGAATGATGAGTTAATGTTGGGTAATTTAGCATACTATATTTTGATCAGTACACAAATCTTAAATTATCTCTAATGTTAATGAGATTACTACTACAAAATTTATTTTCCAGTCAGGTTTCAGTTTTTAAAATATTCTCCTGTACGGTGTTAAATCCATTTCAGTTTTTCAAATTCCTATTTATCGGATGCAAGAGAAGCTATTCCAGCTGAGGTTGTCAATCGGGGATTAAGTATCAAGGAATTTTTAAGCAATAGATCCCGGTAAGTGACTGGCCAGGAAAGAGAGGTGGAAAAAATAAACTAAGAATACACGTGAGATTTGCTGAAAATATTACATTTGAATCTCCTGCTGACTAATTTTTATTAAGCAAAAAAGTTGGGTCTCTGTAGACGTTTCAGTTCCTGGTGCCCATTATGTATATGCCCAGTATATAGCTTTTGAAATCAAAAGTTATTTTTATTTTGCAACCTTTGTTTTACATCACAGTGAAAAAATCTAAGGTGTCTAATGCTTTGTCGTACGATTTACCATATATGTGTAAGACTTGGCCACTGTGGTAGTATGTAGTTCCAGACTAATTTGTTTATTAGATGTATCACACAGTGAAACAGTACTATTCACTGGATGACGTTTACAACAAAATTTATTGTTCATAATCCTATTAACTATAGCTACACAGCTTAGAAACTTTCGTTTTGTACTTTTCTTTATCCCTTCATATTTGTCGTGTGGGTAGTAGAATTTTGCAGATCTCCACGACAGGTGTGAATCATTCCTATTGCATGTATTGCCTGTCAGTTGATTCGGTTGATTCCGATATCATTATCTACCTCCACCATGTCATATTGGATTTTAGATGTTATAGTAATCATAATATTGATACTGATAATAATTAATAATATTATTATTAATATTAATTTATTGAATCAACTAACAGGGAATACATGCACTAGGAATGATTCACACCTGTCGTGGACATCTGCAAAATTCTACTACCCGCACGACGAATAGTAAGGGATAAAGAAAACTATCAAACAAAAGTTTCGAAGTTGTGTAACTATTATTAATAAAATAATGAACAATAAATTTTGTTGTAAACGTCACCCAGTGAATAGTACTGTTTCACTGTGTGATACATCTAATGAACAAATTATTACGACAGTTATTTATTTTAGTACTAAGTATTTCTATCTGCCTACCTCGTTTTTATTACTACTTTGTATCTCATGAAATAACACTAACTACGTTAATGAATGCTGTTAACTGAATTACGACTAAACTGCAATTACCAACATTTAAAATCATTAAGAGAGATGTTTCATGCTCAGCTGATGTTAAAAACAATGGTTTGAACTTCCTAGTGCTTCAGTCCAGACTCAGATACTGGGATAAAAGTTTACTAAACACCACCATCTGCAAACAGGTGAGACGTAACAGATGTCACACGATAATTGTCTCACAAAAAATTAATTTTAAACAACAATAATTACGACGAGAAATTGTTTACAATGACTTCTTCTTCAAGCTCTACAATTATAAATCCATTAATTTGAGCACACAATAGCCAGCAAAAGTAAATTAGAATTGCATCCGAAAGTGCGTTGTGGAACAACTGCAAGATAGAGTAATAGTCAGTGAGTTTCGATTATCATATAAAATATGTATGGTCAATAAGAACATGAGGCAACATAAGATGAAATAATTCATTGATATATATATATATATATATACATATATATATATATATATATATATAGTCAACAAAAGCACAGACTTCAGTAAAGGAGCAATCAGACATGTAGACAATGTGGTTTTAGACCAACTGGTAGACGTTCTCGACTGTCTACTATGCCCCTGGTTATCTATCTGGAGAAGCTTACTATGTCTTCGACCACCACTATCTGAGGTGGTAGCAGTCAATGCCAGATGACCTGATCCCGTATGCGGAAGAAATATATCCCGCCATCTTGTTCACCTTGGACTATAATAAGGTCAACAAATCCTCGATAAACTCACAACAAGCACTTTAAATCCTCATCACACTTTCATTTCCTTCACACCATCAGTTTCATTGACAAACGTTTATTTCAGACCTTTTGCGAATTAACAACCTTTCTTATTGTGTCCATTGCTAGACTTGATCTACCTAATGGCTTGAAACTTGTTACTACATTTACACAGTCCTGTTCACTCCACTTCATTAAATTCTTTATTACCTGATAGTCGTTCACCAAAAGTATATATATAGATATATATCAATGAATTATTTCATCTTATGTTGCCTCATGTTCTTATTGACCATACATATTTTATATGATAATCGAAACTCACTGACTATTACTCTATCTTGCAGTTGTTCCACAACGCACTTTCGGATGCAATTCTAATTTACTTTTGCTGGCTATTTTGTGCTCAAATTAATGGATTTATAATTGTAGAGCTTGAAGAAGAAGTCATTGTAAACAATTTCTCGTCGTAATTAATCTCGTTTGAATCACAATAATTCAATAATTGTCTATGTTTATTGCTTGTAATGAATGCACTTACGGAAGCAAATTTATGAAATAACCTTGAATAATTTGCTGTTGTATATGAATTTTGTTCTATTGAATTTCCATCTACTAATCATTCAATGAAGCCATTGCCACTGAATAATGAATATCTCAAAAACAATATGGAGATATGGTTCTTTGATGACTAAGCCTCATCTTGATTTAAAGTTTTTTTACACCTTACTAATGGAGTCATGACTCACTGGTTTAAGTACTGTATTTCCAACCGGTGGCTTGAATACTGCCTCACCTAGCAAGGTTAGGCAACTTGATAATATAGCTTTCCCTCACACAACAGGTGTCACTGGGAGCCAACCACATGAAATTGCAAGTGGTTATTGAGTAACACTTGATTTCATTATTTTACACCTTACACAACTGAACATCGATCGTTGTAGTATGCTTTTAAACGTATAATCTAACAAAAGTAATCCTACTTTATTATGTTTTTTCCAGGAAAACTGAAGATGCCGTAGGAGATGTAAGTTTAAGCAATAAAATACCTACTGATAATTTTAATTTTATTAATAATAACACATGCAAATTACTAACAATTGCTGATAGTTAAAGTAGTACCTTTCTTTCCTTTTCCAAATACAATCCGCTTCAACTGTTCAAAGTGAAAGTAATTTATTTCCACATTATCTTATTTGTGACTATTTTGATTTTCTTTTATGTTTCTTTCAGTCTTTAGTTTTATAACAGATCACAGAAAGTGTTTCGACTAAATTACCCTGACATCAACATATCACATTATGATTACGAATCAATCAACTTCAAGGTATCTTATCAAGTTTCTTCGCCGATTTCACATACATTCTTTATTATATTTTAATTACTGAGTGTTAGCACGGACTTCTGGGTTAAAGGATGCGGAGTGGAAGGATTGTGCACTTTGACCACTTTACTTATTAGGAAAGTTGCATCAGCCTTGATAGGCTGAACAGCTGACGAAATCTTAGCATGTATGAAAGAGGCTTATGTGGCGTTCGCACAGTTGCATCATCTGTGGCAAAGATGTGATATCTGATTGTTCGTCAAAAAAAAGTTTGTATTCCTCAACAATTCATTCCTCCCTGCATTATGGCTGCGCAACATGGTTACTGAAGTGAGAAATATGTAAAAGATAACTGTTTGTCCTCTATCTCCCATGTTAGGTGATATAAAATGTTCAGTAATATACAGGCTAGGCGTTGAGTGTTAGGTTAGGAGGAATAGTCAGTCGAGGTGGTTGTGAAACTGCATCGATTGAGACAGGTGGAATGCATGCCCAAGTCATCGCTTTCAACGTCGAGAAATGTTAGGTTACATAGAAATGGGTTGGAAATAAGGTAAGAGTTGTTAAATCAGGACGTGATGTCCATCTATGAAGTCTGAACGGTGACGTATGGAACTGTAGACTGGCTCGATGGGGTCATGGGGACTATAAGAAACAACAGCTGGGAGCTGCTGTTATTATGACTCAAAATAGGACTCAGCGTAACCGATGCATTCACTCTCTGGTATCTCTTAGATCCACTGAACTCTCATCACTCTCAATGTAATTACTCTCCCTTTCATAAATTCTTCTTTAATAAAGTTTCTTTACGTTATTTTCTTAACCTTTATTTGTATTTTATGTGATGTGGCAGTTTGGGCTGGTGCACTTTTTTGTACAATGAGGAATGTAAGTCAAAATTTTAACCGGTGTTGAAAACTGACAGATGGTAATTCGGAAAAATATAGAACCTGCTAGCTAACAACTTATCATTATGTGTTCCATATTGAAATAAAATTATTATCAAATGAACAATCATAACACCTGATCTGCTGGTAAAATGTGTAATTAAGCTATAAAAATGCTTTTTGACTTCAGGTTTTACGGGAATTTCTAAAATTCTCAATATAATTTCATCAAGAGAATTATTTTGAACCAAGAAGCGCTGTTTTGTCCTTTTTTAGGACTCGTCATCAGTGCTCATTCAAGGGCCCAACTCATCCGATTAAAACGCCAGTAGTGGTGTTGGTGGAACCTTTCAATTTTGTTTACTTTTGCGCATTCACTGATGACGTTTAGGATAAAGGCTTCTAGTTTAATTTTAGAACATAATAGTTCATGACATCAAAAATCTGTAAAATGAACTCATCTTCTCAACTGGCTACCTAGCCAATACAAAAATATGAATTACACTACGTATTTGAACACACTTTGTTCATGATGCCTAGGAGTAACATAAGTCCGGAATGATGTAAGTTTTTGAGCAATCCTATAACCAAGCAAATCCCCGCTACGCAGACCTTGACAATTGATTTGACGATCACTAGCGACTGACCCTATACAGGTAGTTACCCGGGGATCTAGTGAGAAGTCGCAACTAGCTGGGTCCACTAAGTCTGGCGGTTGCGCCAGATTTATACCACGAAATAGCGAAAGTTAGAATTAGTAGAACATTGGATTGGATCCCAATGGCTTAATGGTCTACGAGATCGCCTCATAACCGGAAGGTTTCTGGTTCGAACTCCAGTGGGTGCGCACTAATGAAGAATTCCTACCTAAGAAGAAACAGCTATCCAGTACTGCCTGATTTCCTAACTGATGTCAGCCAGTGATCAATCCTTTAAGTAATTAAGAGTTAGAAGGATAATCAGACGAATTGGCTAGGATAGAAAAATACATAATTCAACAAATGTTTTGGGTAGAAACAAAGTTAAACTAGCAAAAAGTGTAACAATATAATGTGGTGCATAACTGCAGAAAACATGTTTTCTATAAAATAGCAAAATAGGGGGCAGAGTGAATCATGTTTAGATGAAACAAAAAAACTTTATAAGCGGGACAGAAGGTGATATAACAAAACTTGTGTACTTCGTCATTATCAAGGTACTGCAAGCATCACTAATGTTTCTTTCTGAGGACATATAACTGATTTTAACTGTTTGATGGCGATTGTCTCAGCAAAACGTAGCAAACTACGTTACTTTGGAAAACTGATTATTTTGAACGCCTTCAGAATGTCCACAACATGGCCAGTGTCCAACAGACAGCGAACAATTGAACTCTTTAATGTCTGTGGGCCCTTTTGTGTCAGTGTATGTTCTTTGACTCGTCCAAATGAATTCGCAAGTACTCAGCCTTTCTAACTCTTAATAATTTGACAACTTACATCATTCCGGACTTATGTTACTCCTAGTTCCTACTTATTACTCCTAGTCATCACGAACACAGTATGTCCAAATATACAGTATAATTCATATTTTTGCATTGGCTAGGTAGCCAGTTGAGAAGAATCCTCGAAATAATAAAAAGGAGCTCGTATCATTCTCGCTTTGTTCAATTTATAAGTGAGAAGAATTACATAAGGCTTACTTTAGATGAACAAAAATTCTCTCGAACCCTTCATGGAATGTTTGTTATTTAGTAGAAGTAGATGCAAAGGAATGAGGCGTAGAAATGCTAGAAATCTATATATTTTTAGACAGGTTTCTGTCGCAACTCAGTGTCAGTCAGAGGAACTGGAGTGCAGTTTCACCCTGTTGTACTACTACTCATTCACCAGCATTGACGAAGATCTATCTCAGGACATGCATGCCATGAGGTGTGAACGCTGACGTTAAACCATTTGGCTGGAATCTAACTTCTTTATAATTTGATTTACTTCGCTGATTAATTAAAACAGTCAAAAACCAATAGGATTCCAGGGTCACAGGTAGGGTGGGGGAAAGAACCAGAAATGTAAAGATGAATGTAGTATTTTAGGAAAATTAGGTTGTTCAGTTGTCCCAATAAATAATGTCGTTTCCAATAAAATCTTACCCAAAATAATGCCTCACTTGGTAAAAAATAAGACAAGCTAGGTGAAATGAAAGGAAAACTTGATGATTATAACGAAATACACATATAACTATAACAGTAGTGTAAGCGCAATATCGCTTGAAATTAAGTCACGCGTAGATATAGGCTATCCCGGTCCAGAACAAACAAGAAGCCGGTCACTGTTTCTACGGTACTATTAATTAACAAATCAATAAATATATTTACAACAAACCTTAACGGTTTCAAGAGTACAATACACTATGCTTAACAGAAAGCAAGGAACCGCTATCAGAGCGGAATAACGTTAAAGCCAAAATTACGAACTAGCCGGATCAGACACGACCGTTCAGGTAAGCAGTGAGTAGAAGAATGAACCCAAGTAAGAGGTAGACAGAGCATAGGCACAAAGATAGAATTTAATTGGCTACTTAACCAATCAATAAATAAGATAAACTCAACAGAATAATACAAAATAAGACATGGGTCAGCAAAATAACAGTTCACAAAAATATTCTGATTGGGTCATGAGTTCAACTGTCTGACTAAACTGATCGAAGTAAAAACACACATACACAGTTCATTAAACAAGGTGGGATAGACACGTTAGGCATGGATAATTGTGTTGCAACAATGCTAGGCTGATCCGGGACAGGTTGACTTGATTTTAGGATGGTAATTGAATTCATCTTACAAGTAGTTATAAGTTCCGCCGATACAGTTACCTCATATATAAATTGAAGCATTTGTCTTAAACAGATTGTAGTTGTTTTGCATAAACAAGTGCAATATTCCCACACTAAAGTGATAAACACATAGGAGAAGAAGGGCATGTGTCAAAACAAAGATGTCACAGGAGATTTCTGATTTTCAAGTATTGGTTTGTAGGGACTTTGTTTGATTGGTTACAGGATTTCATCATGAGCTGACATTGGCTAGAGAACCATTGGAAAATCAGCTAGGAGTACTGAACAGCTGTTTCGTTCTAGTTTGTGACTCTTCACAGAACGCACCCACCGGAGTTCGGTCCCAGGACCTTCTGGTTACAAGGCGAGCTCGTTGGCCTGATTCAAAATAAGACACAGTCCGATTGTTTTCACTTCTTTAACAAAAAGTGGTTGATGATTTCATGCTCCAGTTGAACCGATAATTCCTCCTTCTCTTACTAATAGCATAACAAAACAACTAAGACAATGAACAAAACAACAGAACAAACAAAGTGAGTTTGACTTTAGAAAAAGTGTTTTATTATTGTACAAACTGTGTTGAATATTTGAATAAACTTTCAGGAATTTTCTATCAGTATTAAAAATAATTGAATAGAACACAAAATAATTGAGCAAAGAAAATACTTTTCGATAATTTCCTCTTCTGGTTCTACAATTACAAATATATGCTCATATACATAGAATATTCTAGAATAGTATTCAATAACAATATTAGTGATTTTAAATAATATCGATTTGTAAAGTAAGATCAATGGAATTACAGTTCATTAAAGATGCTTAAATTATAATAATAATAAAAATAGTATAACAAATAGAGCATCAATTAAAATTGAGGAAATTTCTGGAAGAAATTGAGGACCATTCCAGCCTAGATGACCAAGGTGAGGACAATGTCTGAACTAGCTTCTTTTGGTCACACAAATTAGGTTTCTTAATGTGGATCCAAAGGGCCTCAGCAATATTTAGTAATCGAACTCTTAAGGTGAAGTTAAGATTTGTTGGTATGCGTTAAACGACCTTCAAAGCCTTGTTGACATCAATCTTGTGTTCTGTATGCACAAGATGAGAGAGAATAGCTCTGCGAATAGATTTTGTTTGTCCTTTACTTAACCACACAGGGTGATGTTCGGAAATTTGACGAGAAACACGCCTAATTGTACGACCTATGTAACTGGCTACACAGGAGCAGTCAAATTGGTGGATACACATGGAAGAGGCGAAATTGGGCAGTTTCTCTGTTACTCCCGAAAGCAAAAGAGGAGTGGTTTTGAAGACATGGCATAATTCAGCAGCAGGGAATGCTCTTTTTACCGCATTTCTGAGGCGATGTGTTAGTATCTCACTTGTATTGTCTCCTAGGAACTGCATCTGTAAGAACAAGGCTTTCTTTGGAACTGTTGGTACCTTGGGCTGCTTTGATTTTAGATTCATATTCTTATCAATAAACTTTTCTGGATAACCATTTTCACTCAGCAACCGTTTAATATTATTAAGTTCTTCATCAATACATTCGTTCGTGCAGATCGCTCTTGCTATGTGAACCAAGCACTTTATCCGATTGCGTTTGTATTTCAAGGGTATGAAGCTAAAAAATGAGTATACTGACTCGTTGATGTATTTCTTCTATATACACTTCTTCTTATTGTGCCATCCTCTTTTCTGGCCATAAGGACGTCTAGAAATGAAATACTAGAGTCATTTTCTTTCTCAATAGTCAAATTTATTCCAGGATGAACATCGTTAAATTTATTCAGGATTTTCTTTGTTTCCTTCTCATTTTTCGTAATTAAAAATGTATCATCCATGTACGGACAATAGTATTCAATTGCATCAATAGCATCTTTCAAAGGCCCATTTTCCAGTTTCGCAAGGAAAATGTCAGCGAGAATGGGTCCTAGTGGTGATCCCATTGCTACACAATCGATTTGTTTATATACTTCCTTATTAAATAAAAGTAGATATTCATTGGGCATTTCAAGAGAAGCTCTTTTATAAAAGATATAGGAATGCCGACATCAATGTTTTGTCCTATGAGTTCTTCATATACAAAGTCTACTGTTTCCATAAGTAGTACATTGGTGAATAAGGAAGATATGTCCAATGATATGATGAATTTATTGTCAAAATTTAAATCTTTTATCCTTTCAACAAATCCAAAGTATCCTTTACACTGTGTTTCACCAACTCGGTATGTAGAGGCTGTAAGAGTTCTACTAACCATTTGGCTACGGGATGTTGAATTTAACATATCTAATACTGGTCGAAGTGGTACGTCATTTTTGTTAAGTATTATACGATGCAAGAAATTGACAAAATTAAGTAATCGATATTCAGACTGCATTATTTGAATTTCTCTTATTTTCAGAGTGAAGTTTTCGTCTTTTTTCTATGTTTTTAGTGATATGGTGAACATATGTTAAGCTTTGCTGTATAAACTGTTTCATTTACTCTGAACCAGTTTCAGTACTAATCAATCTGCTTGAATCATTGAAAACTAAAACTTATCATACAATATAGATCAGTAGTAAGTAGCATCTCGGACGCAATCATATATCTTCTAACTCATGTAAAATGACACGACATATTCTCAATCACACTTATGCTCTCCTATCTAGATTATTAGAAACTTGAGCAGAATATCTTAAGCAACTACCACCTTCTTCATGAATTATCTGATGATAAACGAATATTATTCGAAGATTACAGTGCTACAGTTTCAAAGAAAAGAATAGAGGATGTCATTATGAAACTAATAAAGGTCTGAAGTCTGTTACAAAGAAAACCGTTTTTCCTACTTGTTCTGAAAATTACATTTTTAATTATTCTATCTCACTGATGCCAATTCAAATGCGAATCTCAGCACTCGGACCTAAGTCCTGTGATGTAACTCTAAAAGTTAGTGCGCTGAGCACTAAGTCGTATAACTCAAGGATTTAGAAAATATGCACCGAAGAATCTTTCAACGAAGAGCTACAAAATGTCTGGGGAATCTCCATAGGAAATGGTCCCTTAGCCAGATTCACAGACAAGAACTTTAAACTAAAGAAGGCTGCTTGACAAGTCCAGATTGCCCTCAAAAAGATCTGGATGCTGTATCTCGAATTTCAACGTAATACTGGTACAGGAATTCCCCAAAAATGACTTTGGAAATCCCTCATTTAAACATATTTCGGGTAACATTTTGTTTCAAGAAACTATTCAGACAGCATCTGAAAGACAGGCGGTTACACTGGGCCACACCAGCTTGCATATACTAGTTCATTTTCACCTATGGAGCTGATTATATTGGCCGGACCATGCGTCCACTTGTAAAGCGTGCTCGGGAACTCTATCTATATTTTCAGCAAATAGAGAGCGTAGATGTATTTATAACTGGGTAACAGGGTATCTGGCAAACTTAGGACACTCAATTGCATTTGAAAAGTCTTTCGAAGTCATATAAAATATCCAATCAAACCTCTCAAAATGAGTTAGTTCAAGGCATCTGGTGACTGCTGAGGCACAGCGACCCAAATTTCAAGTACGTCCATCCTCTGTCTTTACCACAGCCGTCACAAACAGTTAATTTCCTCAACAGTTATTATCTGATTATCCTTCTTATTCGAAATTCCTGTCTATTTCTATTATTTGTACGTTTCTAATCCCTATTTTTAGTCCTGTCATTCGTCATAACTTAGTCCTCGACCGGAAATTGTTGTGAAATCCCTCTACTATATATACAAAAATGTGTGGTCTAGTTGATGACGTCGTTGAAAAGAAACTTTCCTTCACCCCAATCATCGTTTTTAGTTTTTCTTTTGTTGAAATACCCTTAAGTTCACTTCAATTTACTGGCACATGCAAACTTCTTATACTACATTTTTCTACTCTAATTTTATAATGTATTCACTGATCTTTATTATAACAGGAGACTAGAGAGTTATATATTTTGCTCAATCTCTTCGTAAATCCAGTTGAAACAAAAACAAAAGACGTAGTATGTGAATAGTTCAATATGCTTTGTAATTGTAATATGCAGCTCGATATCTTTATGATTGGCTAGAATATGCTGTGACAAGGAACAGTTGCTTGCAATAGCTCCACTAGTTGATAAAGATTGAAATCTTATTATCTCTGAGAGATACATAAGTGCCGGAAACTCTGATTTATTATTTAGTATCTGTGAGACAAAAACAATATGGGAGAGGACATGTTAACTTATGGAGTTTGTTTCACTAACCACACTGAGAGGTATTCTTTCACATATTGTGGCAGATAAGTGATACATTGGGAAGTCATTAGGCTTACATCTACACTTTGGTTGTGAAATAAACAATTTCTCAGGTTCTAAACATACTGATCAGTTCCATAAAGTTTTAAAAGTTGAAATCCAGAAAACCTATGTGAAACGCCTTTATTTCTCAGATAATTCTATAGTCTCTTTGTGATCATTTTGGCGAAGTTCGCATAGATCAGCTTCCTATTGCGTCTTGTGCATATAGAACACAAGATTGATGTCAACAAGGCTTTGAAGGTCGTTTAACGCATACCAACAAATCTTAACTTCACCTTAAGAGTTCGATTACTAAATATTGCTGAGGCCCTTTGGATCCACATTAAGAAACCTAATTTGTGTGACCAAAAGAAGCTAGTTCAGACATTGTCCTCACCTTGGTCATCTAGGCTGGAATGGTCCTCAATTTCTTCCAGAAATTTCCTCAATTTTAATTGATGCTCTATTTGTTATACTATTTTTATTATTATTATAATTTAAGCATCTTTAATGAACTGTAATTCCATTGATCTTACTTTACAAATCGATATTATTTAAAAACACTAATATTGTTTGGTTACAGGATTTCATCATGAGCTGACATTGGCTAGAGAACCATTGGAAAATCAGCTAGGAGTACTGAACAGCTGTTTCGTTCTAGTTTGTGACTCTTCACAGAACGCACCCACCGGAGTTCGGTCCCATGACCTTCTGGTTACAAGGCGAGCTCGCATTCCATTAAGCCACTTGGTCCCGACCCAATGGCCCATGAATTCTAACTTCTGCCAATTGTTATTGAATACTCTTCTAGAATATTCTATGTATATGAGCATATATTTGTAATTGTAGAACCAGAAGAGGAAATTATCGAAAAGTATTTTCTTTGCTCAATTATTTTGTTTTTTAATACCTTACTTTCAATTTAAGGACTGTGGTTAACATTAACTCAGTAAAAACCAACTTTAAGCACGTTCATTAATATTGTCTACAAACCTCCTATTGGAAACACTAATAAATGAATGTATTTACAGGTGTCATAGTTATATACTTTGTTGTAAGCTCTTTACTGTCATCCTTACATAATATTGGTTATACATTGAATACCAGCTGTGATACTCGCTGATGGCACTGGTTGACAGTGGTGATGTATTGGCAAATTACTGGTAGCTGGTATCAGTGAGCTTTAAGATTCCGTCCTACGGGCTGAAAAGTTTATAGGTTCACTTCATAAGTTAGATCCCTGATGAAGCCATCGGTATATACTGTACTACTAGTGAGTCCAGAACGAGGAATTATTTCTGGATTTAAATTGCTATCAAAATGAAACCTGACTTAAGATAATTTAAGATATCAATTGGAGTACTCTATAAGAACAGCTATATTCAAAGTAACAAAATTAAATGTGTGTTTATGAAGGTTTATTGAATTTTTTTCTTTCTTCTTGATGTGAAATTAATCATTTAAAGTAGAAGTGAATAAGTGTAATTATAAGATTTTATGCGGCCGATATGAACGAAGTAATCCCTTCAACCAAGCAACATTCATTGTAGTAGATTTTAATTCAAATAATAACAATAACAAAATAGACAACTGTTTTAGCTGTGTAGCCTTCACTTTATATTCCATTTGAAAATCTATTTTTCTTTTAGAGTAACCAGTGAAAAGTCTGATAGGAAGCTTACTGTACTATCAGTCAGCAACAGAATGAGTAAGTCATCAGCACCACTTGTCATTTAGATGCAAACTAATTGTACATTTACGCCTGAAAATGATGATTAATAGTGAGGATAGAATGATCAAAAAGGCTTAAATGATTAACTAATGAATATGATTTTCATTGTCATGGGAAAATATAGTGAGATCAAAAAATACACTGGTGCATGAAGCTTCTGATTGTTGGTTGAAGCCACATAAGAAGGTGTTGACTGGCCGTGAGGGGTCCACAGAATGCTAAACTCCAGTGTTCGCAGTCTGTTGATGAAAAGGTTCAAGATCGCTCTAAGTGGAGGTGAAGAACTTATTATTACCTGTGAGGTGCTACAGAGTCTTCAGTGCCTCACTAATCTTCATTCAGTTCTTGTTTCTCTTTCACATTTTGTTCCATTGTAGTTTCATTACACGATGTGTGCATTGCTGAAGTATGACAAGTTGAACAGCTGTTCAATTTTCTACGTCGATTGATTATTTAAGTTCAGTTCACTTTTCTCTTGACATATCCCAAGAAATACTGTAGAAAAGTAATATTCCATTTGACTGTTTGTTTTAGCAGATGGACATCACAGTACAATAGAGCAGGCATCATCAATAATAGCACCACGATTATCAACATTAAGTAAATTTGACAATGAAAACGCAAACAACACAATGAAAGATCAAAATAATCAAAATCTGTTAAATTCTAGTCCCGAGAGTAATAGTTTATCAGTTCTTAGCCGTAAATGGAGTAACTCAAGTATTTCTGAAACAGTAGACAGCTTTAAAATCGATTTGCAAGAAACACAAGAAGGGTTTGAAGAGAAGTAAGCTTTAAAGTGCTTATTTTGTAGAAATAATTGAGTTTTTGATTTAGTTGTGCTCTTTAAGCTGTTTGATTTAGTCGCAAAGATTTCATTGTCATTCTGGACGACATCTTCAGCTCAGGTTTTAATACAAAGTGAACTTGTTTGAACTCACTATGATATAATTCCATTGTGGACAAAATTTATTTTGATAGATTCTCACAGTGTTATACAGTAATATTTACTGATGACCACGTTTCGAGCACAATTCATTACTCCTCATAATCATATCAAGTTACTCACACAACTTTCTTGCTTCGTTTATATACATGAGTAAAAATTGATTAAGCATTTGAATAAAATCAATATAAGACGTGTGTGAAACAGAAAGGAAGATAAAGTACATTCGGAAATAATATTAGTGTTATCAATAAGATATGGAATCAGATGGGAAATAAGACGAGTGCTGCTAGTCAATAAGATGGGAATTAAGATGTTTTTATAGTAAAGTAAATAACTTGTTAGAATGTCATAATGTGAATTGCAATACACTTTATTATTATTTATTATCCTCTGATTTGACTGGTAATAACATCTTCCATATCTCTGGTATTTGCGTTGAGTCACTTAGATTGCATGTTTTGGGTGTAGACTCAATGAACCAATATTCAGTAGTCAACCTGTCTCTCTACCTCTCCATCCCCCTATATTACTTTTCAGAATTTCGACTCTGCCCCACACTATCATGTGGTTGAATGGTAATGCATGAAGTGCTGTAGCTAAGTTTTTTTCTAAATTACTTATTTTCGTGATGTCACTCATTGTAACCTTAGCTAAATTCTTATTTTCTGATAATCTTACTGCTCCCGACAGAATATAAGATATATACAGTTTTATTATTTAAGGAATAGACATCTGAAACCCTATGTTGTATTTTTAATAGAGCAGAAATTAGAGTGGCATTTAAACCTACAAACTCAATCAGGGACAAGCTCTGTAGCCTAAAGGATCCAAATACACAAAATAATATAATTTAAAAAATACCTTGAAATGACTGTGAGTTAGGTCAACTATATCGGTCTAACTAGTAGATCAGGAGTAGTGAGATTATCAGAACACAAGAATTTAGCTAAGGCTAGAATGATTGACCCCACTAAGATAAGTAATTTTTTTTAAAATCTCCGCTATAGCACTGCATGCATTAACATACAACCACGTGATAGGGTGGGACAGAGTCAAAATCCTGAAAAGTATTATAGGGAGGTGGAGAGGTAGAGACACAGGTTGATAACTGAATCTTGGTTCATCAAGTCTACACCCTACAGGTGCAATAGGAATGACTCATCACTCATACCGGAAATATGGAATATGCTTCTACTAATCAAGTCGAGCGATGAAAAATGATGAAATTATACGAAGGAAGCTATAAAGTTGTGTGAGTAACTTCATATGATTATGAGGAGTAATGAATTGTGCTCATCAGTAAACATTATTGTATAACACTGTGAGACTCTATCAAAATAAATTTTATTCACAACGGAATTATACTCTACCACAATGCATAATTTTTATTCTTATGTCAATGCTGTCTTAGTTTTACCGGTAGTTTTTACTCTTTAAATAACGGCTCGCGGTCATTTATGCAAACTGAGCACAGCATTATACTCATTAGTGGACATTTGCAATGAAGCAGTCAGAAAGAAAACATTCGCTTCTAGTGATTTTCTTCGTAAGTAAAGTAAAGCATAAATTATAGTTTATCGTTCACCAGTTCACTTGCTCCTATGGAGCGGTAAGGATCAGTTACAGTCGGGAAACACCTTCTACACCTCCCAGTATGGGTTTTGTGAAGGTGAAAGGAAGACTATGAGGAGTTCTGTCCCAGAATGTCTGATTCGCTTTTTCCACTCCACTAAGGTTGACAATGATTTTAAGGTTATTTTTCAACATCACGAAAACATACCTAGCCGTCATGATTTGCAACCGCTAAAAAACAGAAGCAGCTTTGGCTACTCATGGGCTTAGGCCAGAAATTTAAGCAGAAAAGAAGCATGTGCAGTTATCTTTCTAATCTGATCTTAAAGTATAACTGTCAAGACTTGGTGTTTTAGACTGAATAATTCTTTCTGTAAATGTAGTTAGAATTACATCAAAATGATTTCAGCTTATCTGTAATATAATTATTTTCCATTATTTTCACATCAAACAAAAAGGAATGGTTCAACTGAGGATACAAATCATTCCGATAATGTCAATCAAAATAATAAAGATAACAAAAGTGTACCTAACAGTCCAATAGATATTAATCTACTTCAAGTGAATATGAACGCTTTATGCACAGAAAGCAGAACAGGTACAGTTGAAGCCAGTTCAATCGGTCAGGCACAATGGACTCCAAGTTTTACTACAGGTGTCACCACAACTGCTACAACATGTGCAAGTAGTCGTTTATCTAGAACCAGTGTTAGTCTGCATCCACCATACTCCCCGAATCGTACAACACCAGCATCTACACCATCACGACGACAAACAACTTGTCATCAAATCAGTTTATTAGAGACAGCGAAAATGTTGCTATCCGAATCCAGTAAACTAGAGTCGATTACTCCAAGTACGTCGGCACACTCTTCATTTACTGAGTAATATCATTCTGTTTCTCTTAAAAAGGGTTTCCCTGACCTGAAACATATAACTGCTTACTGTAGTATGCTTCTTTTTTAATAGGAGTGATCAAACTTCAACAATTTGAACTGATATAACAGCTAAGAATTTCCACGACTCAAATGGAGCGAATTGATGCCTAAAATAAGATACACACCATATATTTAATGAATGTACTATCCCTAATTTATTATCAGTTCGTAGGAAATAATCGTGTTACATGAATCAATCATTTGGCTAGCCGTTACTTATCTCCAGTTAGTTTTATTTGATAAAATTCAGATACCTGAAAACACACTGGGTTGACTAACGCATCTGTAATGGATCCAAAAGCAATAACTACAATTCTTGGTTACGGATTTGACATTTTTAACATTCACACAAAGAAAAGAACAGGAAAAATATTATCATTATCTGCTATAATGTTTATAGCTCTGTTTACTAGATATGAAGCTACTGAGACTTTCATTTTCTTCAGATGATCAGATTGGCATTTCAAATATTTGTTTGAATATGTCGCTTTCCTGTACTTTGGGAATTTTAGTTTCCCGTCATTTTGTCTTCATACAAGACAATACAAAAAGTGTAAAGTTGCCTCATCCCATTTAACCTAATTAGTAAACTTTACATATTTTGAAATTGAGCTATTCCGTGTTCTCTCTCATCTTTCTTGATAATGATGGATGTGTCATCCACATATTTGTATCATATTCTAGGAAAGCGATAAAACTTATCGGTGCTTTTCTTTCTGAATCTTTCATATGGAGATTTTCTACAATTGGAGAGACTGGTGATTCAATTGCAACTCCATTCGTCTGACAATATAGTTTGTCCTTAAAGACAAAATAAGTATATTCTAAACAAAGTTTTAACCATTTCATGATGTCCTCTTTTGATTATGAACATTTATCTATAACTCCTTGATCGTTTTCTAGTCAATATTTCATAATATCCAGGGAATCACATATAGGAGTAATAGAAAAATAGAGAAATCACTCGTCAGAAATCAAGAGTTTAAAAGAAAAGTAATGGATATTAGTGTTGAATAAGATGAAATTATGGCAAGTCTTGTTGTGATTTCAAGCTACACCTTTGAAGTTTCAGTAGCACTGGTTTTACCTTTATGTGGTGGTACTGAAAGCCTAATGTCCTAACTTCCCTCTTTACCGGTCTTATTGCCAGCTAGGACAAGTTTAGGATTGTGTCAGCAAGGGATTGATCCCCGGACCACAAGCATGGTTGGCAAGTGTCCTACTACCGAACCACCAACTCCACAACCAGTGCCTTAGACGGCTTGGCCATTCCATTGATGACGATAGTCATTCCATATGGAAGAGACACAGCTGAGTACTTGCTTTATTTAATATATTAAATCCTATTTCAAACCCTCTAATTCATTAGAGAAATCTTTATCGGACGTCAAATATCTGTTTTCCAAAATAACAAAACCCGACTGCTTCTATAGGATAAAATGTTCAGAATATGAGGTTTGCTATATAGGAGAAAGCAGTGAACGGGTGAAGGTCAGAGTGAGTGAACGCAGAGTGAACACGAAACATCCTTTTGGAAGTGAGGTAAGATTAAGGAGTCTCAAAAAAAGGTCCAGCTGTAGCAGTGTTGATTTGGACAATGTCAAAATTCCAGGAAGAGGCCTTCATTGACATAAAGAAAGGCAGACCTCTGTAGCCTTGCATATTATAACTACATTGAATGCAATAAGTAGACTTATCACCATGTAAGTTGCGAACCTAGCAAAATCTAGATTACTTTTCAAGTATTGCTTTTATAGGGATTTTTTCCTTGATTGGATGGAGGATTTTATCATGAGCTGACATCAGTTAGAGAACCACTGAAAAACCTGGGGGTACTGGACAGCTGTTTCGAGCTTGAGATGTCTAGGAGCTCGCCTTGTAACCAGAATGTCCTAGGTTCAAACCCCGGTGGGTGAGTACTGTCCCAAACTGGGACAAAACAGATGTCCATTACTCCCAGGTTTTCCAGTGGTTCTCTAACCAATGTCAGCTCATGATAAAATCTTCCATCCAAATCTAGATTAGTTCATCCGAATAAGATAAGAAATCTCGAGAATAGTTCAGCTATAGCATTACATGCAATAACACACAACCATGCAATAAGATGGGATAGGATGACGATTTTTAAATCTGATGTAACAGGGTGGAGGGAGAGATTGATAACGGAAGCTTTTTTTATCGAATCAACTGTAAATACGTGTAATAGGAATGATTCAACACCTGTCGTGGACATCTGGCAAATTCTACTACCCTCACGATAAATAGGAGAGGAAAAAGAAAACTATAAAACTGAAGTTTCGAAGTCGTGTGATTATAATTTATATGATTATGAACAATGAATTTTGTTCGAAACGTCATACTGTGTGATAATTCTGATAAACAAACTAATATGGGATGAAATAGTTTTTTTATTGGATGACTGTTTACGTTTTCCTGTTGGTACAGATGTTTACTGACAAGTGAGCTTTAAAGGAATTCACTTCACTTGTGTAATTTTTTAACTATATATTTTGATGGTTGATGAAGAAGCTGTGGCTTACACAGCGATACGTTTGGGGAACTCGTAATTGAAGTTTTTCTTTAAAACGCTTGGATTATTTCAAGTAATTTATAATGGCTCAGTCTAACTCGATGCTCAAATTATTCGACGAAATTCGTGACATCTACGGTCTGGATAATAATATTCAGCTTCCCGTTACTGATATCAGACGAAATCAGAGTTGACTACTGAGATACCCTTCATACTACTATTAGTAACAAGCCAGAGAATTTGAAAGTAGACATCTTGTTTATTGGAGGTAGCAGCATTTATTCATACGAACTCTGGCCAAGATTTGAGCAAATAGTTTTTGCATAACAGTTTGTATAGTACTAACTTCTATGTAACAGTGGAATTACGTGCTATAAAGCCTCATAACAAATGTTATCACATAATTGGCATAATTAATTAGATCCCAAAAATTGACCATTGAAAGCCTCAGTAGTTTTTTAATGAATAAAAACATTTAGACACACAGTTTGACAAGTATGAGTTGCATACAAAGCATAAGTTCTTCCAGAGTTACTGACAAATCTTTCAGAGGAGCACAAACTTGCATAATAGCCATTTCACAGAAACATGTGTGGTAATATGTAATTTCATACTAGTTTATTTATTGGATATATATCACACAGTGAAACAATATTACCTGTTGCATGACGTTTCAAACAGAATTTATTGTTTCTAATCATATCGGATTCTAATTGTCAGTTTCAAGTAAAAGATTCTACCGATTTACTCCTTTTTGATTTTAGTGACAAATTAGAATACATCACGGAAGACAGCAGTAAAGTTTCACTCAGCTAACTGGCACTTCATGAGTTAGTTTTGTCAGCATTTTAGATTAGATAGCTACACCAGTTGCCCCTAGGCACTGCACTCACAATCTTAAGTAGTATTAGTAGTAATGATATGGCTAGTCATTTATATTGTAATACTAATTTAGCCATTGTTGAAATTAAAAATTTGTATGAATTCTATTTTCAGTACGTGATCATTTGGTTAGGTAAGTTTTTTTCCAAATATAATTGTAATAAAACTGTTACGTTATGTAGTGATCAACGCGCTACACCTTTTTACAAAAGTAATTCTTATTATCTAGATCAAAACACAGTTGATCTTATTTGCCAAAAACATCAGATGTTTTTAAGTGCTTCCAAGTCTTCATTCATTTGAAAAACTGTAACAGTAGTAAACAATTAAATGTAGTAATTAGGGAGCATTACAGATACCGGGTTGGTCAATCTGATGTTGGAAAACTGAAAAACCACATAGTTGGTGCAGGCTTTCAACTGGACATGTATGAAATTCGTAGCATAACATTTAGTTTATAAACGTCTTGCATTCCTTTTGAATCAGAATTCTCAATCATCTATTCTTCAAATACCAAAGACTATTTCAGTTCCAATTAATTTGAAAAAAGACATTAAGAAGGCAAATACTGTGAGATGATTTCATTTCTCAGTTTCTGTAAAATTTCTATACAAGTAACAGGGTTTTTAATAATAAAGTGACACAGTGGAACTTTACCAATCACGTACTGCAAATCATGCATTTCCTAGACAGTATTATGAAACTGTAAAGTTCAGTGAATTCCGATTTTGTTCGTCTTACAAAGACGGAAACTGAAATGATTATTTTCTTTTTATGATGATGCTTCGCGTATTTTATCGGAATTATTGATAACGTGCCATCTGAATTCTCTGCAAATTGTAGAGATGTAACACGTTAAACCAAAGGAAATAAAGAAAACAAATGAGAAGTTCAGCTGTTGATAAAAACTACCTAAACTTCCCTCCTGTCAATCGGGAAAAATATGTTAAGAACCTCTCCACTCACCAGCGAGACGCTTTATCGCCTAGGTGAAAATTTCGTGTTCCTCGTGTGCATTTTACGGATTAACCTACCTACTCTGAGTTCGAAAACTTACTGCAAACTTAAGTTTCTCTTTCCAACATCAGATGAAGATCGTGGTTAATTTAAAGCTCATTTAGGTGGATATAGCTTACCACTACCTCAAAGATAGGCTGAAGCAGAAAAGCATTTTGAATCTCCAGCATTTGAAAGCTTTTGAAGGACTAGGCGAAATTCGTGACATAAAAACAGAGGAACCTGTCAAAGACTCTGGAGTTGTCATCATCAATAAAGGTTATTCAAAACCGAAACAGTTATCTCTCCTTGATAATAAAAGTAAATTTAACAGTTAGAACACTCTTAAGATATTCAGTTGGTACAGTGGACAATGACAGCTAATTAAATGAATCTGCCGAGTCTAAATGTGTGCGTCGGTGGCACAATGGTTAGAACTCTCGCCGACCATGCACATGGTCTGAGATTCGGTCCCCTGCCGACGCACACCCGATGTCAATGGTCGGCCTGCAAAATTTGGGCTACCGATATCCATGCTGAAAATTCCGTACTTGTACCAAAAATACGGTGTGGAATCAAGTTGTAATAAAAAAATAAAAATTAGCAAAGATAAACTTGACTTCTTATAAACAACATAATGCGAATTTCCACGTATGTGTGGTTTAACTAAAATACACAAACGTAGTCATTTCCTGCTTCGTCTAATATCAACACATAGATTACCAACACCTGAACTGAATCAGAAGGCAGTTGTGGAGATATGTATTAGAAGATAAATCTGAACTGTTTAATTACCTCGATAGAGTCAATAATAAAAACGAAAGTATGCATTTAATTGGTGTAAAATCTTCATCCAGTAATGCAACCCTATTCATAACAGTTGACATCTTGCGCGATTACATTTCTATACAAAATTTCTTAATACTGTTTCTTCTAACATAATTTAAGGATTTGTTGCTTCTATGTGTAATAATAATGTAAGGTTCATATTCCATGGTGCTGGTTTGACTAACCACACGCCAGGTAATGACTGTGATGTCGTACAAATAGATCAGACAAGTTAGCTAGTAGCCATAGGGATAAAAGATACCTATGTGTCACCTTCACTTTTTCTGAAAACGTAGTAGTAGAATTTTCACTTTGTAGATGATACGCTGATAATATTTTAATTAGTTCCAATATTGGGCCTACCGCTTCATTTTTAGATCGAATAAATGAAGTGCGAAAGATAATATCACTTACATGTGTAGAAGTTAACTGTTTCTCTTCCTAGACACACTACTTAGTCTACGATCTGATGGATCAGTTTGTATGTTTACAGAAACCTACCTAGAAAGGATATCATCTCAATTATCACAGCTTTTTCTCTGTTCAGTATAAAATAACCCCCGTGAGGCGTCTAATCAAGAGGATTCAACGAATATGCACATTAGATACATTTGAAGGTGGAGATAGATTATTGACAAGAACTCTGTTTGAAAATGGTCACCCAGAGAAGTTCCTTAGGTGATACAAAGCAGTCAAAGCGCCAACTTACCGCTAAGAATAGTGTATCAAGCTGGTCTATAAGGGTGATCGCAGAAGTTTATTACTTAGAAAAAAATGAACACTGCACGCAGAAAGATTTTTATGGCAGAGAAGACCTGGATGAATGGGAGTGTAAACCTGTTGATTCATTCGAACAATTAGGATATAAGTATAACGGTAGATATCTACCGATTCAAATATACATTTCGTTGCATACAAATAGGCCAGACCCATAGATCTCTGAACAAAATATTCCTAGATGGATCCAGAAACTCAAAGAATCTTCCTAACCTATAAATAGTGAAAACAGAGGACCAGGCAATTCCATTGTAAAAGATATTATCAATACACGTGTGGTGAGAGCTGTCTATTAGCCAAATTGATAGACAGTAATTTACGTCAATGTTTACGTTCTCAAGATTTGTCGTGAGAAAATATGAACAAAGACTGATTCAAAACCTACCACAGCAGGTTTGGCGTAGGCGGATACAGTTAACATATAGATGATCTGAAATTCAAGAAACCGTCACAAAGAGATGAAAGATTAACTTTAAGTGAGAAACAATAAATCAGAAGACTGTGTTTGTTTGCTTAACTAAACTATAATAAAGTACATGAAAATATATAAATAAGCTTTGATTTCCTTAATAAACGATCTGTTGCCTGGCCCTTTCCTCTTGTTGTTACACACGGAATAAAACTGATGTTTATGCGTCTTTTAAATGTGTTTATAAAGCGTATTCAATGTTTGTCGTAAAGATTGTTGAATTCGTAGATATTAGAAAGTTTAAATCACCCTTGTGTTTCAAAAAAACAGTTTACCATGACATTCAACCATTCCTGGACAATCTACTCTTGATACGCGGATGCATAAAAAATATTTTTTCACTTTTTTGAATTACTCATATCCACCACTGACTTAAAATTCTGTATCGAATTTGACGTAACATGTGTCAATCCACTCAACATTGTGCTAAGTCAATACATTAAGCCTATTACGTATGTGATCCAATTGATAGATATGTGTTGCACGAATACATTAAGAGTTTCAGACATTTATTTCTTGTTTTATAATAAACTTCTACAAATAATCCCAGCGTGTTCAGGAAGAAAATCAAAACTAGATTTTTCTGAACATTTCTCTGTGTAAGCCACAGCTTCTTCAGCAAAATGAAGTAAACCGTTTGAAACCTAATCCGTTGTACAATCGCATTCATACAAGGGTTGCGATTGACACCAACAAGCGGCTTTGTCATGTGTGTCTGTGTGCGTGTGCGTGTGCGTTACATTTCAACAGTGTGAAGACAAACACAACTAGACATATGGATGAATAAAGGAAGGTCAACATGAAGTTCAATAGACATGTGTAAATTAGATGATATTAAGATGAGGTACTTTCGAAAATGTGAATAGGTGAATTTGCCATGTTCAAATGCACTAATATGCGGAAATAAGATGAAGTGCCGTCAATGAAATGAAATAAGTGAAATGTGAAGTGAAGTAAGGCCAAGCAAACTGAAATATGATATGAAGAAGTTTTGTGAATCACATGGTCTCTTTCGTTACCATGGTTTTACCTTCCTGTCGTATTGCATTTGAAAATGATCAATCCCCATCACCGAATGTGCTTAATCTTCCCATCATCTATTTTATGCGTAAAAATTCTCATGTGGTGTGATTAAGAGCACATAAGTCAGCAAAGAAATCTCCATTCGCAAATTCACTTCAAAGCTGCACAATTATTCAGAGATTTGTGTATACAGTATTAACTGGCGACAAAAGTCAGAGGTTTTTCGAACAAAGATCATATTTCAATCATTGCCTACACATGATGGCAGGTTTTTGATTTGATAAGTCAGTAACAACATAAATCAAAGGGCATAGGAAGTAAGTGTGTGAAAAATAGTGAATAATCCCATGTAATGGAGAGGGTATTGGATGAACATTCAGAAATATTTCATATGAGACCAGAAAGCGAAGGAGTGGAAATAGTTAACGGGAACAAATGTTAAAAAGTAAAAGGACTAATTGGAGTTTATTATGCAACAATTCAGGAAAAATAAGATTGATACTGAGACTAGAGTAGTAAAAGAGGCTGGATAAAACGTCTCTAAACACAGAGTTGAGCTTTTTCCTTATGGATTGCTAGAGCTTCGAGTGCGTGAAGAGGATGCGAGGTGTAAAATGAAGGTTTGTCAATTCAGCAGGAAGGGAGAACTTTGTTATTACTATTATTATTGTCATTAATACTATTATTATATTATTCGTCATTTGAATCATAATTTTTCTATTTCAGACCTTTAAATGATGAACAGATGGTGAGTTATTCATTCACTGTGGCCATTTACCTGCTCATTTTCCGCAGCGATACATTTCAGCTTACTGTAATGAATTCAAAAATAAAATGAACATTGAATGAAGGACGATGTTAAGTGCTTTCTGTCGAACAAATGATGGCTCTGGTGGACATGTGGATGAGGGTTTGACATTTGAAACAATGGGTGCTGATTCCGAATCTCAGTAGAATTAATTACTTCTCCAACTCCATCAAATGTACTAGTAATTTTATTTAGAATTTTTCAGTCCCTATTCCAATACAATAGACAGAGAGTTTCTGTACACTGAGTAAGAAGAATAAAAGGGAATACGAGAATCCAGTGTCTAGGATCCTGAATAGTAGTAATTTCTCCCTAAATGTCACGGGATTAAAATATTGCAATAATCTCCATTTAGGCGTTTAGAAGACAAAAGGATTGTGCAAAGGAATACTTACTTTTCAGTTAGATCATTGTTCATCGCATTCCAATTAATCTTAGTCTTCCATTGTGAATTCGTCTTCTACATATTGCTGAGGCCATTGGAATCCACCTTAAGAAGACAAAACCTGTGTGTCCAGAAGAAATCTATGCAACAACCACCTCAACCATCATTACATGAATGTAATAAACTGACAATTTCGCCTTCCCTCTGTCTCATTATTCTGCCTGCTTCATCTTTAGTCATTTATTGAGCAGTCAATTTAAACACTCATGTGTTTCATACTAACTCCTCTTAATTTTCCAAACCCATGCATTACGTAATCAACCTGTGTAATGGAAATGAAAAGATGGAAGTGCAAATCATGCAGTCAAAATTCACAGTATGCTGTAAGCTAGAAGATGGGTTCGGAGGAATGATAACACATGCACCAGTTACTTATAAAAATTTCAATAAATGAAAGATAACCTGAAAACTGGAGAAGTTTGTGAAAGCAATAATAAAAAGACAATAAATCTGAATTATGTAATGTCTCTGCACACTATTACGAACAATCCAACTGCACGCCTGTTTGTTTTACGAGATAATAATAGACTAACAGGTGAGGCTAGATTGCAGGTCAAAGTAGGAATGAAAACCAATGAAGGAAACAATAGTACGCTAAGTTTGATTTCCATACGGAATTTGCTCAGGAAGGTATACTGTAACGATGAACAGTTTTTAAAGACCTAAAGTTGGCATGAACCTCCCTAATAGATAGGTCATCTGCAGACTCAGGACAATTTAAGATGATGATTATAAATAATGTGCACATATCCATTTCATCACTGACATATCCATACAATACTTTTAATGAATGAAGGACTTGCACTGCTGTTCTAGTCTTTAGGAAATTCAGTAGATTCAGTCTACATGCTAAGACACTTCAAATATGAGTTATTAATTGGGCTGTATTAACATGCGCTTACAAATACTTCAGTTGTTGGTTTATAGGGATTTGACTGATTTCATGATAGATGTTGTCCCAATCTGTGAGTCGTCAGCACCCATAACCATATCAAGGATCTAACTAAGGCAAGCATGCTGCTATTCAGCCTGTGGGATGAAGTCCAGTGGCCCCATGAATTCGAACTTTTGCAAGTACTAGCTGGTTTCCAATGGTTCTCCAACCAATGTCATTTTGAGATGAGACCTAACTTAAAAATACTTCATTTATACGTTGTCCATAGTTAAGATAACATTGGATTCACTTAGTTCCCTTCATGAATTTCTGTGCAGCAGAAGCAAGTAGAATTGTGGTCTGAAGTGGACTCATTTCGTTCCGTGTGTTTTAAACTTCTTCATATGTGCCGAGTTCAGTATTTGTGTACAGTTTGATATTTTGAGATATCGTTATCCATCGCAAACAACTTGATATAGTTTAATGGTGAAATCAATAGATCACTGTGACCAAGAATCTCTGCTCAGTAAAGTGAATCAACACGGAGTTCAAAATATATTCAGTAGATAACAGTGATTACCAGTTTCACAGGAGGAGACTGTTAGAGCCTAGAAGCCATGGGGATAACAATTTGACTTTTGAAAGGATAGTTGTTAGATCTGAGTACCAGTGAGAACACCGTCATTCTGGGGTTACAATGTACCCACTCGACAAGTCCCAGATAGGACGAAATACACCTCTCGAATCCCCTTGATAACCACTGTCAAATAAATAACAACATAAGTTGTTTCACATCTATATATCAATATATATTTGAGCAAAACTGAAATGGCTTATCGACCAGTTAGTAAATGCAAATTGTTATCAGGATGACATAGCATAGTGTAAATTCAGTCAGGAAAACAGAATAGTAATCAGATATTATACTGATTGGGACGTGTGGTTAGAGTTCACGGTGGTAGAGAATTTGATATAAGAGAGGAAAATAATGAAAGGGCGGTAAAGGGACGAAAACTGCAATATAATGGACAGTGAAAGATGTAAGAAAGAGGAATAGTATTTAAGGAAGATAAGGCGAAGAAACAAGTAACAAAGTGGTAAACGAAGAAAGCAATAAATCACCAAGGCAGTATATGGTGTGTCACAAAATCTTTTCGTTTGGTTTCAGTCAATAGATTGCAGTTGCTTCTACATCATAACATAGCAGTCTACTATTACTTCGTCGATTTTTTCACATGGAAAATTGTGTCTGAATGAATAAGTTGACTTGTATCAAGAATGTATTTCCCAACAAGGATGTTAGATTTCAATTCTCTGGTGAATAAAAGACGCCCATGTCGACGAATATTGGGTCTCGTACGCGAACAACTCATTGACAAAACTGGAGCCAGGAAGTCATCGAATGTTTTTCCGTTTTCTTTTGAAATACAGGAGTCACACCACTATCATATGCTTGGTAAGCAAATACTTGCTTTAACTGTTAAGCGAAGCTTGCATACAAAATCACTAAATGCTGTCTTGAATCTTACTTCTTATCAGATTTGCTGTGGAGATGCTGGGGAAGGCATTGGTTCAGATCGTATCAAAGCAAGCATCGAACGAGTAAGTTATGACAAAATAATCCATAATCTCTGTCTTACCAAAGAGCTTATCAGCAGCAGCTGACTGTGTTCTACTTCACCCCCGTATGACATAGCTGCTGGAATTACAAAACACTAGATTACTAGCCATGTTTTGAATTTGTTTGACCTCGTTAAATGGGACCACAAATTAAGTGGGATGATGAAACTGTAAGTGGATTGGCAGGTAGGGAAAAGGCTTATGAATGAGATTGTGAAATTCTATTAGCTGAATTTGCCAGTATACGTTCTATCCATAGTGACCCTTAGCCTACACTGGAGAACGACATTGTTGACAAGGGATCAAGTTGTGAAATTATTATGAATGACGCGATAAAACGAGGTCAATTCAAGATTTAAGTTATATTGAAAGGTGCAATTAACTAGTTGTGGTTCTCTGAATGATAATAATCCCGGTATAATGGCTAAGAGCCACTCACATCGGTGAGGATATATATAGCCTTTATCATCCTCAGAGTACTGTACACATTCGCCATTCCGAATTATTCAGTCTGCCAGATTCATATTTTTACATCTTAACCACATGACACTTCCCTGCTGTTCTTTTATTTCTACTGTTTTGAAATATGCCAGCTTAAACTTATATATCCCTGTGAAACGGTCCATATTGCTTCTGGTTGAAGCATTGTCGTATAATATGGGTGAGCAATTTTGCTCTATCTGAAATCACACGATGAATGACAAAATGACTGTAGGTTAGAATAGAACATGGTGTAAAAATAAAGCTACTGAATGCAGTTTATACAAGACTACTTCGACAAATAGATTCATTATCAGGTATAATGCAAACAGTTAGTCATTCGTGTGCACATACTTGTTCCAGTTTGTTTTATAAAGGTTCGTTAGTACGACAGACTAGTACATGCCATATATACAGAGTGTCCAGCACACCCCTTCTGTTGACTGATAAAGGAAATTAACAACTGCATACTGCCTCTGTGATAAAACACTCTCTTGCGTCATTGGAAATATCTATATGAGACCTCAGTATTTTCAAAAATTATCTTATAATCTGAAAACAATCATGTGCAGTGAGTGTAGAGAATATTCAGATTTCACTAGTCCATATGGCTTTTGGACTTCTGATAACACATGGAAGTTCGTCGAATCAATATAATAACTATGCAATATGATATCGTTCGAATGTGACTTTATCATATTTGATGCAGCCTATGCTACACAGAAAGTCTCTTTAAATCATGAGAGTTGAATGAAGTCTTTCCGATAAGGCTGCTGTGAATGAAATGTCTCTCACTGTAAAATAAACTCCGACAGTATCATTAATTGTTATTATTGCTAATTACTTCGTCTGATTGTATTTGAAGTTACAGTATTGATGCAAGTGATAGAGCTGAATTTCGACAAGTTTATTAACAAAAAATCCTATTGTGTTCCTTTGCAGTAGCTTCTCCAGATAATAAATATACTTCAGCATGTCACAGAATTCATCCAAGTTATTCGAATTTTGCTCACTGGAGGAGTTAAGGCATGTGGAAAGGCTTCATTTTACCTTGGTTTACACAGATGATTCCTTCACCGATATTGATTGATGAAGGCACGTTGTGGGACTTCAGAAAATTCGTGGAAATGCGAATTTTACATTAGTACGTAAAATCGAATAAAACACGGGGAATTAAGTGCATTATGTAGGTGGAAGTTCTGGTAGGCCAAAGTTGAAACAGGCCTCCAGGAACGGCACCTAATTGTTGTTCTATTTCCTTTTCCTTATCTTTACTTCTGACATGACTTCCCTCTTTCGGACGATATCAATTCCGTTAAATATGTTGAGGATTTGACTGTTGCAAACTTAATAGTTAGTTGTCAGAAATAAGACATTGGTCCAAGCCAAATGGTCTAGTGTTAAATCCCTCTAAGTATCAGACAGTTAACATCTCCTCCAGGTATAAACGTGATCTACACGAACTAGTTCATTCACGAGATGCATGTAGCATAGAGGGCACTGGGACCGAAACTAAGTCAAGCATAAAACACCTTGAAATAGTTCCATCTTCTGATACTACTTGGTCATTTCACATATTGCCGCTTTCTAAAAAAATGTCCTGCCTAACCTTCTGCATTAAGAAGTTAAGACAACCTCGACTTTTACTATTTGTTAACTCTTGCATCTTACCTATTTTTCTTTATTTCTTCCCCTTAGTCTTTCTTGGGCTACTCAAAAAGGACTATGTTATATTGCGAAGGGTATTAAATGTTGTCAGAATGGAATCTACCGTATCACTAAGTTACCTCATTATTGTGGTCGAAAGACACCTAAGCTGATGCGAGAAAAGGGCCAAATCCATATTGCCTGACTATGCAACCTTTTTATCCAAAACTCTCCCCTTGCATCTCATGAATCAGGACTGAGAGTCATTATAAAAGATTATATGCTCTCACAAACAAGTACAAATCTCAACGAGACCCTATTTGGCCCGCGTTCTATTTTATTATTATTATTGCTAATAGTTATCTAAGAATAAGTGCATGCACATATCATACCCATGGGGTCAGTTAGTTAACGTTAAGTCCGCTTATTACCTTGGACATTTTTATTTGAGTATAATTTTAAGACAAAATGGATTATTATACTGTTGTTTTCATCGTGTATTTCTATTAAATGTCTGCTACTCCATAATACCCAAAGCGACGATATCAAGAAGCTGTTGAACTGCAAAAGCAAATCCATTTGTTGAACGAGGTTAGTCAGCGAAACACCAAAACTTATACCTACGCGATCATTTATCTTTTCCTTATTGCATTTATTTGCACTTTGTTTATTGTCTTTAAACATTTCTGAAAGTTAACCACTTGCCGGTAGTTGTAAGCATTATAGTGATAATAAAGGTCTTTCATATGCATTGCTGCATCAGACTTACACACCGACATCTGGAGAACATTCTCCTACTGTTAATGACCATGAATTTGGTTACTGACAAGAGGTGAAAGTGCGGTGAGAATAGCAAATCACCAGTCAATAGTTTTTCAATGCATTCATCTGAAATTCACTTTAAGTGACGACAGTGTGACTGACATTTAGTGAATGCTGGTTAGATAATACCGATTTGGTTTTTAGATGTAGGATTTGCACAAAAGTTCAGCATTGCAGATCGCCACAACTTACAAGGCACACATGGAAGTTAAGGGTGGTAAAAGGGAAAAGAAACTATAGTGAACAGAAATGTACTAGAGGAAGAATAATTACTTGGAAATTAATGAAAACGTAATAGGTCTAGGAGATTACAACTAGTGGATGCATCTGTGCAACGGAGCACAGACTCGTATTGATGAAATGAAAAGTGGGTGTAAGTTGAATGAAAATTTGAGTCTCAGTATATTTCGAACTGGTTGCCTGTGAAGTAATAGTCAGGTGCTCCACAAGCTGAGCTAAGTGATGCATTGAATTCAAAGTTGGTTTTGTAATCAGCGCAAATCCTTGCTTTCAACAAGTTGAACTTGTAATTTCAGACAACTAAAGATTTGTACAATCGAGCAAAAGAGAAAACTCGCCATCTGAATTCACTTATACAAGATACACTGAGTCAAATGAAGTCGATGAGAGAAGAAAAACTTCAGCAGAGAAATTTAAAGTCCACACAAAAGCGCAAAATTACACGAGAGGTAAGCGTTGAAGAATAATAGAATGATCATATGCTTTTGAAAATTAAGGTGGGTTTTGAAAGTCTAAGTTTTCTTATTCATTCATTCATTCATGAAATGTAATTTTCTGTCACATTAAAGCAACCACTAATGATGAAATGGATGTGCACACCTTTCGCAAGTAATTTACCACCCAATTTTTTCCAACTAAAGTTGAGTGATTGTATCAATCTCCTGTTCCCATAGTATGAAATGCCCTCATATGTCCTACATCAATCTATTGTCAAATCTAATCACACTGCCTAATAACACTCAGTTCTCTTTTAATTGCCATTTTGTCTTCATTAAAGTCTGAAATCCGGATTACACAGTATGATTATACAATCCAGATACTTAAGACATTTCTGTAATATAAGAGCAACAAAGTTCAGCGAAGAGTCTCTTTTCGGCGAATTCATTCATTTAGCTGTACAATCGCATTTATATATAACTACTTTGTGTATGCGTACATTGGCATTGTCAAACAAAGATAAAATAAAACTTAGTTAGGGTTACTGTTTATGTCATCAAAATGTTTCTAAAATGTGATGAATAATCAAAATTGTAACTAGGGGGGATGTAGATTAGTACTGACAGAGGTTGCGTAATATGAAATAGGGTGATAATGGAGACACGTGCCCAATAAATAAATTACGCAATAAGTAGAAATAGTACATAAAGGGTTGGTTAAGAAGAAGATATCATTAAGACGCCATACAAAAATTAAAAAAAAGAGAGCAAAACATTATTAACAAATTCGTAGGATTTGGAATTATACCCAAGGTAGAAGGGAAGAGTGGAGAAGTTTCTTCTCTGTGTATAAATCAGGGTTTTCTATCCGCCTCGCTACCGCCTAGGCAATGCAAAGTATACGGAAGCTTACCATTTTCGGGAGGCTTCTTTTGACTTTGTAGATGACTCTGAATCAATTTTCTGTGTATATTAAGTGACCAGTATTGACTATGTGTTAAATTATAGCACTCTTTATTGATCCACTGTTACCTTTTTGTAGCCAAGCGGGATAATGTTCTTTGACTCTTTTGGATAAAACACCCATCGAACGACCTATATATCTCGCTGCACATGAGCAAGTAAATTGGTAGATACACATAGAAGCGGTAAAATGTGATAGTTTGTCCTTGGAGTCTTTTAAGAACAATGGACGGCTTGAGAATACCAATCGCAATATAGCAACAGGGAATGTTCTTTCCAGAGCGTTAAATATTCCTCTCTTAAAATGTTGGTCAGAAAGTCGCCTTTGAATGCCACATTCATGTACAGAATCTTCTTTGGCGCAGAGATGGGTTGCTCTTTGTTGACTTTTAGCTTTATATGTTTATCTATAAAGCGTGGTGTATAGCCATTCTCAATTAGTGTCTTCCTCAAAATGGTGATTTACTCTTTTACTGATTCAGGACTGCATATTCTGAGGATTCTAGTTACAAGAGATATTATCAGGTTCCGCTTGTGATTGATGGATACTGAACTGTAAAAGTTTGTCATCTGGCCGTTCTACGTAGGCTCCCGATATATTGATCTCTTTAGGGTCCCATCAGCCTTCTTAGTCGGACGTCCAGAAATGAGAATATCTCTCCAGTTTTTGCTTCAATCGTAAATTTGCTGGCTGGGTGGCAGCTATTAAAGACTTGAAGGACATTATTCAGGTCACATTTGTTATCACAGATGATAAAAGTTTCATCAACGTACCTTTTGTACAAAGGGAAGTTGTCAAATGTCTGTTTCAATGGACCACTTTCCAAACTTGCCATGAAAGTATCTGCAAGTAACGGGCCTAAGGGTGAACCCATAGCCACACCATCTTGCTGTCTATAAATAGTACCACTGAATGTGAATCGAACGTTCAAAGTGCATCTAAGTAGAAGTTCTTTCAACTTAGGTGCGGGTATTCCAATATTTAAGTTGTTGTCTTCCAAGTACTTGCATAAGAAACAAATCGTTTCCGTAATCGGGATATTTGTGGTTGTCGCCCACTTTCAAATCTTTGATACAGTCAATGAATTCAAGCGCGTCTCGAAGACAGTATTTTGAAATTTGTTCTCTAACAGCCTTTAGGAGTTCTGCCAGCCATTTTGCCATTGAATGGTATGGAGATCCGGACATGTCCAAAACTGGGCGCAACAGAAGTCCCAGTTTGTGGGTTTTGGGTAATCCACACAGTCGGGATATTACTGAACCGGTTGGTCTAATACTCTCGTAGACCTTTCCAGAGATAAGTTGATCGCTTTTAAGCTTTCTCAATATCCCAGTGAGTTGCATTTCTGTTTTGTCTTTCTCTTTGTCAGGTGCAGCGAACTTGCTGTTGTCTAAAAGAATCGCTAACATTTTATCAATGTAGTTCTTTCTATCCATTAGCACTATGCCAGTACCTTTATCAGGGCGTGTGATCAGCAATTCTCTGTTACGTCTCAGTTGGTTGAACTGTTATCTGTGTCCTTTAGTCAACAGATTATTGCTCTCAGGCTTTGTATTGAGGTATTGATTGGATGAGTCTAGAAGTATTGACTTAAAACGTCTGAACTCCTCTTCAGAGATTGGGAAAAGATCACTAGTCTGATTGATCAAATTTTCACATTCTACATATGTATAGAGCTTGCTAATGTTTTGGTTCATTTCGCATATTTTTGTAATATCCAACTATTGGTGTTACCATGTCCCAAATTTTGGTGACGAACCTCACGGTGTGTTTCTCTTTATACAGCAGTTAGCAAATTTTCCGATTTAGGAATTTTTTCCATTGGATTACAAGTGACACGTTAAGTAGAGGCTCATGCGACATCTGATTATGTGACAATCATAAATTCAGTCTCTAATGAAGTCATGATGATAAAGACTTGTTATACACAAGATTTTCAATTCAGTGCTGGGTTTTTTTTTAATCCTTCACGTTCCCAGTGGAACATAGGGCTTCAAGCTAGAGGCTTGAAGTTTCTGTAGCAGTGTTTATTTTTACAGGATGGGGTTGCTAGCCTCATGCCCAACCTTTCCTCTTCACCAGCTTTAGTTCTGGCTTAGTGAGGTAAAGGAGTGCGCCGGCCGGGGATCGAACCCCGGACCATGTGCATGGTCGGCGAGCGTCCTAACCGCTATGCCACCGACGCACTGCTGGGTACTCCGTACATATTACAATATCACATCTAGGATTCTTTTGGCGTTGCACAGTTAGGGAAAATAATAACTACAGAACTTAAGGATGTTTGCAACAATGATGATAAGTGAATAAGTAATAAAGTAATAGGAATAATGATAACGATATATCGATGGTAGAAATAATAGAGACAGTCAGGTAAATTAGTGGCCTTACAGTTAACACAGATCATCCGTTGAACAAAATGCGTCCAAGATAGGCTATCTCCTTCAGTCTTATATTTAGCTGTCTTTTGAAATTGCTTTTTTCTTGCCTTTAAATAAATATCACAGAGATTGGATTGTGTTCTATCCTTATTAGTTATTCTTACGTCAACTCCGTCATCGACATATACGTAAACAAAGACTACGCGCGAAACTCGGTGTAACTGCTGGGAGTCGAGTTTATCGTGTAGGCCAACATTCTGTGCATGAAGGTTTGCCTACAGTTTTACTCAGCAAGGAAATATCAGAAGCTGAAGCACTGAAACAATGGGAGATAAATGAAGATCTGAGGTGAACTGTGGTTTGTGAAATATTTGAAATTTAATTTGTATATCTATAAGAAATTTCCAAACCTCTATTACTGTAAATGGTCGTCATGAATACAGGTGATATTTAACACCTATTTCAACATACTGTGTTAGCGAAAATGAACAACAAATTGAAATATGCCATTCTGATTCATGACAACGCTACTTGTTGACAAGATGGGAGCTAAATAAAATTGTGAAGTTGTGAGATACTCTCCTATTTATCATTCGAGAATTTATATCTTAATCAGCAACCAATATTTTTACACAACGATAAGGATGCGATATGGCGTATTCATTATGAAAACAATAAGGATACTAAGTTCCGCAGACTGCGAAGAAGAAAATCAGACACGTAATGTCTGCAATACATTAGAGCTGCTCATTTGAGACAAATTAGTCATATTCCTGTGCACAATCATACTGTCACTCATGATGGGTTGACAGACACCTATATGCCCGCAAACAGATTTAGAAATCTAAAATCTCTCTACTGATCTCCTCCAACAACCTGATGAAAATTAAAAGGACACTACAATCACCAGACTGCTAGACTAGTGATTACATCGCACCGCTAAGCGCCGGGCACCAGACACTGGTGACACCCCGATGACAATTCGAAGCAAATGAATTCGTTTTCAACGCAGCCTGTCAGTAACTAATTTGCACGTTTCAGTAGTAGTGTACATTGTGCACACTAAGACTTGTATACATGGAGTCCAAACCTATAAACCTTTTTTCTTCCTAACTTAACAGTAAAATTTCATCAAATGATTTATGAGAAAGGTACCTGATACAGCATGACATACACTTGGATTTTGTTGAACCCATAAAAGACACTGTTTTCAGTATTAATTTATTACTATTATTATTGTTTCTTTTAGTTCCTAGGGAACATAGGGCTTCAGCCACACGTCTCCACTGCGTTCGGTTCTACACCAACGTTTTTACCTGACTCCACGTCTGCCCACGTGCTTTCATCTCCTCTTCACATGACCTCCTCCATGTCACCCTCGCACTGACGGCAAACTTGCCGCTTCCCGTTCGGGTTCCAATCGAGCAATGGCCTGTCTTGTGATGTCTTTGATGGTTTCCTCAGAGTATGGCCAATCCACTTCCATTCCTTCCTGCTTATTTGCTGCACAATTGGTTCCCGGTTAGCTCGCTCTCAGAGATCCCAGTTGTTGGTCTTTTCTGGCCATCTGATCTTGAGTATTGAGCGAAGACAGCTGTTAATGAAGGTCTGTAGTTTGTTCGAAGTGCCCTTCGTGACGCAGCAGCAAGTCTTTCATCCGTATAGTAGCACTGAATTCACATTGGAGTTGAAAATACGGATCTTGTTTTTCATGCTGAGTGCTGTTGATCACCACACTTGAGAGTAGTGAGAGCTTGTCTTGCTTTCCCGATCCTCACTATGATATCCTCATCAGTTCCGTCCGCCTACCTACCCAGGTAGGTAGGTAGGTAGGTAGGTGAAGGAGGTTGCTTCTTTCAGATTTCTTCCATTTATGCTGGGTGATTGTTGTCTGTAGTTGCTGTTGCTGTTGGCCGGGAATATTCATCATAACCTATGTTTTCTCTATGTTCACCTGAAGTCCTATCTTCTCTAGATGCTTCTTCCGCCAACTTATTGCTTTTCACTTGCATATCTTCCAGTTTGTGAGAAATCACACATATATCATCGGCGAAGTCCAGATCCTCCTATTTTTTTGTGTGGGTCCATTTTATGCCTGCCTCCTCGTTGCCCGCTGTTTGTCTGTCGCACTATCTAGTCTACCGCAATCAGGAAAAAAAATTGGAGGTAGTGGGCAGCCAGCCTTGTCTTAATCCCTTCTTCATTTTGAAGGATTCCGTGAGTTTCCCGTTGTGGATTACTTGGCATGCAGCATTGTCGTACAACTGTTGGATAAGATGTATAATTGTTGGTGGCACCCCGTAGTAGCGAAGTAGTTTCCAAATCACCTCTCGATCGACGCTGTCAAAGGCCTTTCAAAGTTGATGAAGTTGAGCGAGGTAGAGAGCTGACTACCATTCCAAGCTCTGTTCAATGATGATACATAGTGCTGCAATTTGATCGGTGCATGACTTGCTCCTCCTGAATCCAGCCTGTTCCGGTCGAAGTCTTTCATCCAGGCCGTATTTGATTCTCTCCAGAATGATGCGGCTTAGTATTTTGCTTGGGATAGACAGGAGCATAATTCCGCACCAGTTCTTGCATTGACTTGAGTCTCCTTTCTTTGGCAGTTTGAATAAGTATCCTTTCTTCCAATCAGCAGGTACTTTGCCGTCTTTCCACGCCCTCTCCACTAGTGGTGTCATCAAGTCCGCTGTTGTCTCTGGGTCCATTTTCAATGCTTCTGCCAGGATTCCATCTGGTCCTGCTGCTTTTCCAGCTTGTAGCATCTTGATTGCCTTCAGGATTTCTGCTCTCGTCAGAGTGTTGATGTCCACTGGCAGTTCTGCTTCCGCTCTTGGTATTAATGGACGCGTTGTAGGTGGCGGTCGATTTAGAAGTCTTTTGGAGTGTTCAGAGCAATATATCCTTTGCTCCACTTCTTCGGTGATTGACTTTCCATTGTCATCCTTCACTGCCTTCAAACTTTTGCCCGATAGGTGCCTAGTAGTTTAGTAGAGTGTTGTGAGGTCTCCTTTGCCTGCAGCTTGCTTTGCTTCACTTGCCATAACTTCCTAATGTTGTCTTTTGTCTTCTCTGGCACTCTTCTTCACTCTTTTTTTCAGTGTATTGTAGTTTGCATTCAACTTCTGTTTTTGTTGCTCGTCGGTGCACTGGATAATCTTTTTTTCACCATCTTTCTCTCTTCTATTACTTTCTATTTGTACGTAGTGAGCCACTGTTTGTCCTGTCTCTTTTTTCTCTCTCTTTCTGCCTAGAACTTCCATTCAGGTTTTACTCCACACCACTTTCAGGCTGTTCCAGTGTTTTTGAACGCAGGTCCTTTCGCTAGTGTTAATTTGTGTCTCTGCCTTTTCCTTATGATCGCAGAGGAGATATCCTTTGTATTCTGATCTTTCAGTTTTTGAGTGTTGAACTTGGCTTGTGGTCTATCTGCAGCTGCTGCTTCCTCGAATGTTTTAAATTTGATTTGCAGTGTTCCTTGTACGAGATAGTGAGCCAACGTCTGCTCCACTTCTTACTTTTGTGTCCAGTAGGCTGCGCCTCCACTTCCTTGAGCACTATTGAATGAAGTCAATTTGGTTTTTGGTTCGCCCATCTGGTGACACCCATGTAGCCTTGTGGATATCCTTGTGTTTGTATACGCTGCCACCAATCACTAGTTCACTGAAGGCGCAGAAGTCGGCGAAGAGTTCTCCATTTTCATTCATTTCTCCGAGAGCTTCTCTACCCATGATGAGTTCTCTTCCTGTGTTGTCTGATCCCAGTTTGGCTTTCATGTCCCCCATTGGTATTTTAATGTCACCAACTGAAGTTTTGTCCATTGTTGCCTGTAGTTGTCTGTAGTATTCTTCTTTCTTTAAGAGGTCTGCGTGGTTTTTGGGTGCATAGCATTGTATAACTGACACTTTCTTCTTTTGGAGGTAAATCTGGCGGTCATTATCCTGAGCGAGGCCGCCTCCTATTGTATGAGGGCCTTCGCTGCCGTCGGTGACATCATGATAGCCACGCCCTCAATGTGCATGTGGTTATCCTCTGGGTGACCGGAGTAGATCACTGACACTGCTGTCGCATATTCCCAGTACTTGAATTCCGTATCTTTTCATCTCATTTGTAATCTGAGCAGCTTTGCCAATTTCGTACATGGTGCGAACGTTCCATGTGCCCACATAGACTTTTTCTTTTGTCTCAAAGAGACTCATTGTGCTGAAGTTTCTGTAGCAACTTTGTTCACAGGGTGGGGTTGCTAGCCTCATGCCTGAGAAGGGAGTTGTTACATTAATATATAGTTTACAGAGGAACTGCCTTATGGGTTGCTCGCGTTAGAATCAGGAAAACAAGGAATAAAGCAATCAGAACAACACCAGCAAAAGGAAGAAAATTCACAACAGAAATGGCAGCGACAACAACAATAATAAAACCGTAGCACTAGTATCACAGTCATTTACCGTTAACAGAAATGATATCAATATCATAGACTCACTGGCGAAGTTCAACAATAGCGTCACAGGAGAGTGAACGCTCCAATGACTTTGAGCGCATGCTAGTCGTTGGCCAACGGTATCTGTCACTATCACAGCTGAAATATCAGCGCTATTCATCAACTTAGGAGCAAATTTCACCCAGATCACGTTTTTAACTACTGTTTGGACAATGTGTTAATAGCTCGTTATGGTTAGGATTAGGGTTGAGGTAAGTATTGGGATTAGGGTTAGGATCAGGGTTAGAATTAGCATTAGGGTCAGAATTACGGTTTGAATAAGGGTTATGATTTGGGTTAGGATTAATGTTAGTTTTAGTGTTAGGGTCAGGATAAAGCTTCTGGTTACGAATAGGGATAGATTTATAGTTGATGTCATTTATTTTAAATTTTTTATCATCCACGTTTTCCTGGTAAGTAGTCGTCTATCCTCTTGCTGGAAACCATAATAATTCAACCACGGGCTTTTTTGGAGGACTACGAGCATGATGAGAGAGATAAACGATTCACAAAAACAGTTTATCTGTAGTCATCTCGGTGAATACATGTACAGAAACTAGTCTAACTTAGCAACTAATACTCCTCGTTATAACTAGGACGTACTTTTAAGCCATGTTAGCGAAAGATAACCAGTTTAATGCGTTTTCAAGCATTTTCTTGTGAATATACATCATTTTTTGAGCAAACATTCCTCAGTTTTATGATTGGTCAGCTGAAGGTCACTCGTGCATAATATTCAGTCCTCATACGAGATCTTCAAGTAAAATAACAAGCTAGAGTAAATGATGTGAAGCAGTTCTATTTGATCTGAAGCATGAAATAATCCTTTATTGTGTTTTTCTTCCATCGCCGAGAAATGTGCAGCAATGGGTTGAAAGCCAATAAAATGGGTGTGAGTACACTTGACAATCCACCGGCATAACTGAACGGTTAAAGCAGAGGCAAATAGAGAAAACTGTATGCAATGTGTTGGAAAGAAATTCACGTATGCTAATGGTTCAAGCAGGCCACTGAAATGAGGTCGTGAGAGCTGAGTGGCTCTTGTTACTTTTTCACTTATGAACACAAAGTTAGGTTATCTTTGAAAACACTTCAAATGTTCGTATCGCGAATGTAGTTTTATGAATTTACATTCTTTCAGAGATCAGGCTGAAGCTAATGTCATATTTCGAATGGAGGAGAATGCACTTCATAATGCCACAGTGAAGTTGAAGTGTTTGAAAGAAAAGGCCGATAGACAGTTGGGTTATTTAGAAGACCTTATGCAATTCGGAAGGAATTCAACTGGAGAGATGCAGTAAGTCATACTTTACTCGATAAGATTTGTGTTGATTTCATTTGGTGTTTCTGCCTTATCAAAGATAAGGAAAGAGAGAGGGACAGAGAGTGATAAAACAATAACGGCGTATGTGTCTTATTCAGTTGTATTTGTTAAACATTGCATGCGTTTTAGTGCCTATCCAAGGGCCCTAACTTTCGATCATGATATATTCGCTGGAAACATGATAAGCCTTAACTTGTAATGTGGTCGTCGACTGCGATATTTGATCCACCACTGCAATTTCAGTAGACTATAAAAAATAAGTCAGTCTGCTTTTGTTAGATTTCCTGCCTCATTCGTCCGTTTGTTAGGTATACTTTGAAGTACTTAAGCTCTATGCAGACATTGCTGCTGTCGATTTTAGGGAGTAGTTATTGAGCCTATCCAATCATCTTGGCCATCATTCAAATATTTCGACTGATGCTATGTCATAAGGAAATTATATCAATTAGTGAATATTTCCTCTTTCTCTTCAATCTCCTCATTCATTCACGTATCAAGACATTAAACTGTTGATCTGGCTGATTTATTGGTTGATGAACGCTACAGATGGAGTAATTTTTTCACTGAACTTAAAAATTCTCACATACTATAATTACCTAGTCAAAGTGTACCTTCAGAGCATCTCAGAGTTGCAAGTATATGTAGGTGTACACTCACGAAATCCGCGATTATTTCTAAATAGCACCCGATAAACGATGAGCAATTTTGTCTTCATAATTACTTTGTATTTATTCCCTTGTAAATATTTCATCTTTTAATCGTTGGCTTGCATTTTTGATATATTTTCTTCACTAAAAAATATGATCTTTGGATATCTGCTGGTTGAGTGGTTCCTCGTTTACTGCTTATACTGAATGACTTGTTTTATGAACCGACTCTCCCTTGAATGAATGAAACAATAGAGAAAATAGTAGGAACATAATTTAAAGTTGTGGAAAACTAAGAGTTTTAGGGAAGTATTCTAAGCTGGTAGACAAGCAATAGATAACCTAACCACGGTGGACTATTTTAAGTATTACTGACTTAGAGTAGAAGGGATACAACAGCCTGTTCGTGTGCACCCGACTGTATTTCTATTACACAACAAATGTTACTGAATTTCCAGAGAAAATGAAACCGGCGAAATCAACTTGTCTCGGCTACGTGTGAAACATTTGCAGCTAGTCACTCTATTAAACCATTATGGAATTATGCCTGAAGATGTTGGAGCATACAATTTTTGCACGAAAGAGCAACTACAAATCGCACAACAGAATCACCTAGTTAATATACCATCAGATAGTGGAAATGTGTTACCCAATTTATGGGATGAGCTGCAGGAAGACCAATTGCACAAATATCAGAAGTCTGCCCTGTGTCACTTTCAAAAAATGTTGGAACAGGTTAATCGTACGAATGTTTCACAGGATGAAGTTCCACTAGATGTTCAGAGAAGGCGTCAGTGGCACCGAGATTCAGAATATTTGAACACATTCAGTAGAATGATTACACCAGCTGTATTTTCGTATTTCGACTACTGGAAACAGCCCTTACCATCACTGGCTATGGATGTACTGGTTGACTTTTTACCAGACAAGACTTCAGGTCGAAGATCACAATTTCGGTAAGTTATATGTGTTTGATTTTCTTCTTTAATCTGCTTCGCCATATAAGAGCGCTCTGTAGTTTTTCACAAGGACGAGAGTGTAAAATATTGAAGTCATGGTGAAAGTAAAAACCTTTTCATAAATGAATAGAGTGACTTATTAACGATTAAGCCTCACTCTAGCAGTTTATCTTGTTTGGTCGACTATGTATTTTCACCATTAAGTTTCCTAATTTTCGCATAGTTTTATTTTATCTTAACCTCAATCATTGTGTCATGTGATTACATTTAATGGACGCGTTAGGAGTCGTAAGCGTAATCTAATGCTTCTGGTGTTTGATAATTATAATTTTTCTGTGAACAACCCAAGAATGATTTTGATTTTCGATTGAATATCAGCGGAGTCAAACCAATTGAAACCAACTGGTGTTTGCATAGAGAAGTATGTGACAAAAAATTATGGGGGGACAGTTTACAAGTATTCATTTCCTCTTGAAGCAGCACCGAATATGATATCTCATTTGACATCGGCGAAATACCTCAACCACATAGGTCAACAGGTGTACGAAAACAAAAATAATCGGAGACCGAAACAGTCACTAGTGTCTCATTTGTTAGCATTAGCATTGAATATTCATATGCAGTGAGAACTAACATATCACCGGATGATGACAGAACATTCAACTCGAAAAGTAGGAAATCTACAATTATCCAGAAGTACATAAGTGAAAACAACAGAGATATAGAGAAAAAGGAAATCTTCTACAGACGAGGGGAAGCATTAATGGATAAGATCCCGGCCACGCGATGATATCTAAATTCTATTAGGCAACATGAATGAAAGCCAAAATGGAAGTAGATAACTGAGGAAAAGTACTCATTATTAGTCGACAGGCTCTCGAAGAAGTGAATAAAAATGGAGGGCCCTTTGAAGAATTCTGAATGCTAAATTATAAGGAGACTGGAGATAGTGTGCATAGACACAAGCATATACACAAGATGATATGGATCTTACCAGATGGACACAACAAGAATATAATGAATTTCATTTCAATCTCAAGAAAGTGGAGACACAGCCTACTGGACACGAAATCAAGAAGAGGAGCGGATATAGGCTCACACCACTGGCTAGTACAAAGACAATTCAAGGTCAGGTACAAAGAGGCTGGATAAAGATCACAATTGGTGCCCAACCCTCAGAAACCGAATGATGACATTATATTGGACAGCTTAACTTCAGTCATCTGGGGAACATCAAAAAATTAAGCAACACCAGGAAGCCCGCGTGTTGGAACACTGCAGCTCTCTGAATATGATTTTGGAGGAAACATGAATAGCCGTTTGAGGAATGAAGAATAGGAGAGACAGAGAATGGCTATCTACGGACACGTGGAGGCTTAGAGTGGGCAGGAGGAGGGTGTAAGTGAAAACAAACTAGGGCAGAGATTAAAATGAAAGGAAAAGCTGAGTTTGGTGTACAGTGCACCGAACAAAAGAGTGAAGAAGATCGCTAAGAAAGACAAAAGTCAGTTTTCCAATATACTAGCAAGTGGAGCAGAACAGCTTCCAGGTAGGAGGTACCACAGAAAAAATCATCTGGTAACCAGGTGACAATCATGGAAGAGACCAACATAGAGAGAACGTCATTACTAGAAGACACAGAGCCAATCACTTCAAAGAATCCTGAATGCAGCACCACCTGAAACTAGTATAGAAATAACTCCAACAACCAAAGTCACTGCAAGCGAACACCAATCTTCCCACAAAACAGGAGACTCGAATGCTATAAAATTACTGAAAAATGAGTAGGCACCATTGACTAGATGGAATTCCACCAGGAGCAGTGAAGACGGATAGAGAGACTTCAACGGATATGCTCACATGACCATTGCAGAAGTTTTCGAAAGAAAGATTCCACCTGATTGGAAGAGGGTCTGGCATTTCATATCTGCGGAGCCGGGTAACTCGTGAATTTCCAAGATCTGACTGGGAATCAGGCTGCTGTATACCTCAGCAAATCTTCCGACAACAACGTGCTGGAATGACTAAACTATGTTTTAAATTCAAAGTTTCGCTAGGAACAGTCTGAATTCGAGAGAAACAAATCATGTATGGACCCGATTGCAACACTAGGCACCAACATCATCGAACAGAGCATAGAATGGCAGTCGACTTTAAACCCCAGCTTCATCGACTTTGAAAAGAACTTCAACTGTGTCGAGCACGAAGTAATGTGAAAGCCGCTTCAACGCTGTGGAGTGCCACCAACCTTTTTAATCATCATCCAACAATTATATGATGATGCTACATGCTAAGCTAAGCGAAGTGTTTGAAGTGACGGCAGAAGTTGAAAGCTGGACAGGAATGCCTAATATCACTGATAATCTTCATCACGGTGTTGGATCGGATTACCCATCACATAGTAGGGAGCGAGATGACGGGCTTACATTGGACCGACAAAATGACTGTAGAATATCTGAACTTTATGGACTATTTATGTATAATGGCGCGCAAATCCCAAGATCTAAAAGCAAAAACCGATAAGTTGAGAGAACATGCAGCGAATGCAAGACTTCGGATGAAAACAGAGAAGACAGGGGTGGTGAAGATACCCAACCAAATACCAGAATCGCCAATCACCACCAACAGGCAAAATCCAAAGGAAGTTGTCTATTTTATTTCTGGATTCAAAGTTTCGCTAGAAACATCATGGAATTGAGAGGAATAAGTCTGAAAGCGGAGTCCGCTGCACTTGGTGATGCAATTGCTGTTTTACTTAGTTATTCTGTTTAAATGATTTGTTTATTTACACACACTTGAGATTACATGTTCCTTTCACTGACTCTAGTACTCTCCATCTCGCACTGAGAATAAATGATTCACTAAGAAACAATGTCCAGCTGAAATCTTTCTGTAATCGTGACAAAGTAGCTAGTGTCTAAGATATATAAAGTTAGCTCCTAAAACCCTCATGTCTAATTCCTGCGTCATTGCCAATGTTTAAAGTCATTTCGATACTGTATCCAAATGGCACCAAATAATCTACACACGTGGATATCTTGCGAGAATAGCGATTGCATTAGGAAATTAATCTATTGAAATGAATCACAGGTAATCTTGATGATGCAGAATTCATCCAAATATCTCTTCATTCCAAGTACAGCATGCGTTACCAAGGAGTGTGTCCTGTCAACAACAATACACTCTGGAATATCTCAAATGCCCTTGAACAGGCATTAAAACATTTCATGCGTTGATCACGCACTTGATTAAATTGAAGTTATGATGATCTATCACCCAATATTTTTTTAAATTTCATCTTATATTCTCCAATCGCTTTCAGGAATCCTATGAATAAATACTCGAATATTAGGAGTGATCTGAAAAAGTTGAGTAAATTTCTGGTCCATCCAAAGGGGCATGGAAATGCCAGGTATGTCTTTATCTTGCCAACTGGATCCGGAATCTAATTGAATATTTTAAAGATAAAATGAAATGAGTAAAAATGTAAACAGAAGACATTTTCTAGTCTTGAGGTTGGAAATAATGCTTTTAAAGCATGAGCTGTAATTGTCAACACAATGAATGACGACTTGTCATATCCGGAATGCTAGTGAACTGTAAAACTGTAATGAAAATTGTGTTCCAAATCCTGTTTAATTTATGAACTTACTTTCCTGATAAGTCTTATAACATGCCTGCCAGTGTGATTTATTGTGAAAATTTGAATATCCACCTTCGATAAGTGGCAATTAATTACGAAAACGTTTCATTTAAGACGACAAGAGTACACTTCTAAGCGGGAAGTTAATGCAGACTAGAATACTTTTATGTACTCGATTTCAAGGATCTCAGTCTGTAGGGGCATCTACGTTACCACATAATCTTGTCACTGTTCTACACGATGTCACACTGTTGTATATTGTGTTGGACACATTGATTTACCTGGTAGCTTTTAACTAATACGTTGACAAAGCAAGTTAAGCTGAAGACATCTCTTCAATGGTTCCATTCTCAGTAGCCTCACAGGCCCAACTCACATACATTTCCCTCCCCCTTCTGATACAAAGTATCATTTTGATTCATCTTTATGCACAACTCAGTCAAACCATACATTCAGAAAAGCTACTTAATGTATTATACATCCTTGATTTAAGCCTATAGAAATTTGGTTTCCTCCTCCTTTGTGAATAATCTTCACTCAAAATCACACTCGCGAATTTCACACAACACGCCGAATAATTATTATCTCCAATCAATTTCACCATTGCCACTATGTTCAGTTAAACAATACTCGTACGTTTCTTGCTATATAGAATCGAAGCGTGTTCAAATTGCAAATGTACAACTGAGATTACTGGAACATATTTCATGATGAACGTCCTGTTTTCACTCTAATTTTCTGGTTGATGTTCTAAATAAAATGAAAATTTAAACTAACACTCTGATCATCAATTGTCATACAATCAGAATGTACATAACACTTCGCATTGTCACCGTGTGCACGCCGATGTGTAGAAACCAAGCTCTATTCAGATTATTGGCTCCAAAGATTCGCTACATATACATTCTACTTATCATTCCATGTCAATTCCTGTGATCTACTGGAACCATGAGCACACAGGACTCACAAGAGTAGCATTCTTATGTCCTCAACATGAAAACTATTACTACTTAGATCAGCCTTAATATCAGTTGCATTTATGGAATAAGCGAGAACGTTTCTATACTTTTATTGCTTCTGGAATGTAAATGATAATGTTAAAGGTTATTTCCACACAAGATTGTCTCACGTTTTCCAGGATTCTACCAATTGATATGTTTCCCTTACCTTATTATTTCCATTCCTATTATTAGAAATCACCGGACAGAAAATAGAACTGCATAACGAAAGACAAGACAGGATAGTAGAAGTACTATCCTCTGATTGGCAGATATTTTGCAGTCTAAGCTGTGCATCACACCATATGACTGTCAGCGCAAGAAACATAAAGCTGTACATCTTATTAATGGAAGCGATGAACATCCAAATTTCCAAATGTGTAAACAATTACGTGCATTGAATGTGATAATAATTTCGAGTAAATATAATTTATTTTATCCCACATAAGATTTTTTCATGGTTTTCAATGGTTCTCTAACTGATATCAGTCCGTGATCAACTCGTAAAATATGATAAAGTCACATTCGAACGATATCATATTGCATAGTTATTATATTGATTCGACGAACTTCCATGTGTTATCAGAAGTCCAAAAGCCATATGGACTAGTGAAATCTGAATATTCTCTACACTCACTGCACATGATTGTTTTCAGATTATAAGATAATTTTTGAAAATACTGAGGTCTCATATAGATATTTCCAATGACGCAAGAGAGTGTTTTATCACAGAGGCAGTATGCAGTTGTTAATTTCCTTTATCAGTCAACAGAAGGGGTGTGCTGGACACTCTGTATATATGGCATGTACTAGTCTGTCGTACTAACGAACCTTTATAAAACAAACTGGAACAAGTATGTGCACACGAATGACTAACTGTTTGCATTATACCTGATAATGAATCTATTTGTCGAAGTAGTCTTGTATAAACTGCATTCAGTAGCTTTATTTTTACACCATGTTCTATTCTAACCTACAGTCATTTTGTCATTCATCGTGTGATTTCAGATAGAGCAAAATTGCTCACCCATATTATACGACAATGCTTCAACCAGAAGCAATATGGACCGTTTCACAGGGATATATAAGTTTAAGCTGGCATATTTCAAAACAGTAGAAATAAAAGAACAGCAGGGAAGTGTCATGTGGTTAAGATGTAAAAATATGAATCTGGCAGACTGAATAATTCGGAATGGCGAATGTGTACAGTACTCTGAGGATGATAAAGGCTATATATATCCTCACCGATGTGAGTGGCTCTTAGCCATTATACCGGGATTATTATCATTCAGAGAACCACAACTAGTTAATTGCACCTTTCAATATAACTTAAATCTTGAATTGACCTCGTTTTATCGCGTCATTCATAATAATTTCACAACTTGATCCCTTGTCAACAATGTCGTTCTCCAGTGTAGGCTAAGGGTCACTATGGATAGAACGTATACTGGCAAATTCAGCTAATAGAATTTCACAATCTCATTCATAAGCCTTTTCCCTACCTGCCAATCCACTTACAGTTTCATCATCCCACTTAATTTGTGGTCCCATTTAACGAGGTCAAACAAATTCAAAACATGGCTAGTAATCTAGTGTTTTGTAATTCCAGCAGCTATGTCATACGGGGGTGAAGTAGAACACAGTCAGCTGCTGCTGATAAGCTCTTTGGTAAGACAGAGATTATGGATTATTTTGTCATAACTTACTCGTTCGATGCTTGCTTTGATACGATCTGAACCAATGCCTTCCCCAGCATCTCCACAGCAAATCTGATAAGAAGTAAGATTCAAGACAGCATTTAGTGATTTTGTATGCAAGCTTCGCTTAACAGTTAAAGCAAGTATTTGCTTACCAAGCATATGATAGTGGTGTGACTCCTGTATTTCAAAAGAAAACGGAAAAACATTCGATGACTTCCTGGCTCCAGTTTTGTCAATGAGTTGTTCGCGTACGAGACCCAATATTCGTCGACATGGGCGTCTTTTATTCACCAGAGAATTGAAATCTAACATCCTTGTTGGGAAATACATTCTTGATACAAGTCAACTTATTCATTCAGACACAATTTTCCATGTGAAAAAATCGACGAAGTAATAGTAGACTGCTATGTTATGATGTAGAAGCAACTGCAATCTATTGACTGAAACCAAACGAAAAGATTTTGTGACACACCATATACTGCCTTGGTGATTTATTGCTTTCTTCGTTTACCACTTTGTTACTTGTTTCTTCGCCTTATCTTCCTTAAATACTATTCCTCTTTCTTACATCTTTCACTGTCCATTATATTGCAGTTTTCGTCCCTTTACCGCCCTTTCATTATTTTCCTCTCTTATATCAAATTCTCTACCACCGTGAACTCTAACCACACGTCCCAATCAGTATAATATCTGATTACTATTCTGTTTTCCTGACTGAATTTACACTATGCTATGTCATCCTGATAACAATTTGCATTTACTAACTGGTCGATAAGCCATTTCAGTTTTGCTCAAATATATATTGATATATAGATGTGAAACAACTTATGTTGTTATTTATTTGACAGTGGTTATCAAGGGGATTCGAGAGGTGTATTTCGTCCTATCTGGGACTTGTCGAGTGGGTACATTGTAACCCCAGAATGACGGTGTTCTCACTGGTACTCAGATCTAACAACTATCCTTTCAAAAGTCAAATTGTTATCCCCATGGCTTCTAGGCTCTAACAGTCTCCTCCTGTGAAACTGGTAATCACTGTTATCTACTGAATATATTTTGAACTCCGTGTTGATTCACTTTACTGAGCAGAGATTCTTGGTCACAGTGATCTATTGATTTCACCATTAAACTATATCAAGTTGTTTGCGATGGATAACGATATCTCAAAATATCAAACTGTACACAAATACTGAACTCGGCACATATGAAGAAGTTTAAAACACACGGAACGAAATGAGTCCACTTCAGACCACAATTCTACTTGCTTCTGCTGCACAGAAATTCATGAAGGGAACTAAGTGAATCCAATGTTATCTTAACTATGGACAACGTATAAATGAAGTATTTTTAAGTTAGGTCTCATCTCAAAATGACATTGGTTGGAGAACCATTGGAAACCAGCTAGTACTTGCAAAAGTTCGAATTCATGGGGCCACTGGACTTCATCCCACAGGCTGAATAGCAGCATGCTTGCCTTAGTTAGATCCTTGATATGGTTATGGGTGCTGACGACTCACAGATTGGGACAACATCTATCATGAAATCAGTCAAATCCCTATAAACCAACAACTGAAGTATTTGTAAGCGCATATTAATACAGCCCAATTAATAACTCATATTTGAAGTGTCTTAGCAAGTAGACTTAATCTACTGAATTTCCTAAAGACTAGAACAGCAGTGCAAGTCCTTCATTCATTAAAAGTATTGTATGGATATGTCAGTGATGAAATGGATATGTGCACATTATTTATAATCATCATCTTAAATTGTCCTGAGTCTGCAGATGACCTATCTATTAGGGAGGTTCATGCCAACTTTAGGTCTTTAAAAACTGTTCATCGTTACAGTATACCTTCCTGAGCAAATTCCGTATGGAAATCAAACTTAGCGTACTATTGTTTCCTTCATTGGTTTTCATTCCTACTTTGACCTGCAATCTAGCCTCACCTGTTAGTCTATTATTATCTCGTAAAACAAACAGGCGTGCAGTTGGATTGTTCGTAATAGTGTGCAGAGACATTACATAATTCAGATTTATTGTCTTTTTATTATTGCTTTCACAAACTTCTCCAGTTTTCAGGTTATCTTTCATTTATTGAAATTTTTATAAGTAACTGGTGCATGTGTTATCATTCCTCCGAACCCATCTTCTAGCTTACAGCATACTGTGAATTTTGACTGCATGATTTGCACTTCCATCTTTTCATTTCCATTACACAGGTTGATTACGTAATGCATGGGTTTGGAAAATTAAGAGGAGTTAGTATGAAACACATGAGTGTTTAAATTGACTGCTCAATAAATGACTAAAGATGAAGCAGGCAGAATAATGAGACAGAGGGAAGGCGAAATTGTCAGTTTATTACATTCATGTAATGATGGTTGAGGTGGTTGTTGCATAGATTTCTTCTGGACACACAGGTTTTGTCTTCTTAAGGTGGATTCCAATGGCCTCAGCAATATGTAGAAGACGAATTCACAATGGAAGACTAAGATTAATTGGAATGCGATGAACAATGATCTAACTGAAAAGTAAGTATTCCTTTGCACAATCCTTTTGTCTTCTAAACGCCTAAATGGAGATTATTGCAATATTTTAATCCCGTGACATTTAGGGAGAAATTACTACTATTCAGGATCCTAGACACTGGATTCTCGTATTCCCTTTTATTCTTCTTACTCAGTGTACAGAAACTCTCTGTCTATTGTATTGGAATAGGGACTGAAAAATTCTAAATAAAATTACTAGTACATTTGATGGAGTTGGAGAAGTAATTAATTCTACTGAGATTCGGAATCAGCACCCATTGTTTCAAATGTTAAACCCTCATCCACATGTCCACCAGAGCCATCATTTGTTCGACAGAAAGCACTTAACATCGTCCTTCATTCAATGTTCATTTTATTTTTGAATTCATTACAGTAAGCTGAAATGTATCGCTGCGGAAAATGAGCAGGTAAATGGCCACAGTGAATGAATAACTCACCATCTGTTCATCATTTAAAGGTCTGAAATAGAAAAATTATGATTCAAATGACGAATAATATAATAATAGTATTAATGACAATAATAATAGTAATAACAAAGTTCTCCCTTCCTGCTGAATTGACAAACCTTCATTTTACACCTCGCATCCTCTTCACGCACTCGAAGCTCTAGCAATCCATAAGGAAAAAGCTCAACTCTGTGTTTAGAGACGTTTTATCCAGCCTCTTTTACTACTCTAGTCTCAGTATCAATCTTATTTTTCCTGAATTGTTGCATAATAAACTCCAATTAGTCCTTTTACTTTTTAACATTTGTTCCCGTTAACTATTTCCACTCCTTCGCTTTCTGGTCTCATATGAAATATTTCTGAATGTTCATCCAATACCCTCTCCATTACATGGGATTATTCACTATTTTTCACACACTTACTTCCTATGCCCTTTGATTTATGTTGTTACTGACTTATCAAATCAAAAACCTGCCATCATGTGTAGGCAATGATTGAAATATGATCTTTGTTCGAAAAACCTCTGACTT